GGACACATTCTATAACAAAATAATATCCCATTATCTCATATATACATCCTTGTACACAAAAGCAGACTAATATGCACTCTGCTACATATGAGAATCTCCGCACATCTGCCAACCAACAGGTGAAGCTCCCTTATACCGAATCAAACAACTATTCCAGACTTTTGAGATTTGTCAGTCAAAGAGAGAGACTATGCCAGCTCAGCACTGGCAATGTCTCACCAGAATTTCAGACTAGGGTCTTTCACAGCTTGGGACAGATTGTAGAGACTGAGTTTTGGACCTTCTGTATGCAAAGCATTGGGAGAAGGGGAAAGGTAGAGTAGGTTTAGAAGGGGAAATGGAATTGGAGAAGTTTGGGAAACGCTGCTCATGTGTCAATACATACAGTAACATTGTTATCACAAGACCAAAACATGCACAAACTGAGGTTATTACTCAGATGGACATGGAGGGGATGTCTGAAAGAGGACTGGAACTAAAAACTGATTCTAAAAAGGTCTTCAGAAAGGCTTCCTGAAATAGCAGGGTCTTTCAAAAAACTGGTGGATTATACAGATATATCTATTAAATGATGAAATTTGTTGCAAAAAGAGCACCTAGCATCACCATGCAACAATTATCCAGGTCAAATTTATGTTAGAGGAAGCACTGTAAGAAGTACATATAAGTAATTCTACCCTGTCAAGGCACGAGATGGACTGAAAGGCCTATCTTTTTCTGAAAAGCTTACATCTGAAAAGCCCTGATGGCTTGTAAACATACCCATTAGGGACTTAATTAGGAGGGACTAAAACATCTCTCATCACCTGCAAAGCTTATTCCCACCATCTAGCACATTAGCCAGTGCATTAATTCTCTAAATCAAGGCAGCCTTTCCGCTGAATTACGAATGAGCTATTTCAAATACTCTCTCTTTGACTGAAAATCTCAAAAGTTAAATTTAATAAACCTCTCTTGGTGATGACAGCCGTGACTCACACGAGCAAAAATGTCAAGGCTAGCAGATATCTCTAAGGCCCAGAAGCACTGGCATGATTATGATAGAAAGTTCACAGAGTGACTGTGGAATAATAGTTTACAACAGAACCCTGATTTACTAAATTTCACCAGTTCAGTCAACTTCAAAGCTATGGAGCACAAGACAGTTATTTGCAAGACTCCACTGTGCAAATTAATTGAATCCTCCACCTGGTCTGTTAAAACATTAGAATCATAGTTTTTGGACGGACACATACATACATATAATACATAAATAATTTTAGACAGGTTTCTTTCTTCTTTTCTACTTTCATGAATACAAGCTAAGATTTCATAATCCAATTAGAAAATTGAGGAGGCAGCAAGAAAGTCTATGAGGAAAAGCAGACAGTCAAATTTTATACATATGTCTAATTTCTACATATGTCTAATATGAAGCCAGAGTCCACCCAAGGATATATAAAATAGGTAAGAGGGCTAACTTCTGTGGCCAAGTATATATTGATTTAATTTAACTTCTAGTCCACCATTCTCACAATTCAAGAGAAACCAAAAAACTCCACAAACTCCCCCAAAAGGAAGAACAAATTAAGCAACTGCGGCAGCCCACCAATAAGAGAAAGGGATGAGACTATCTGATCTGAGCAATGCCAGATTTATGCACAAGCTATGTAGGTTAAACCACAGAGCCTAGGACTTGCCAATCAGAAGGTCGGCGGTTCGAATCCCCACAATGGGGTGAGCTCCCGTTGCTCGGTCCCTGCTCCTGCCAACCTAGCAGTTCGAAAGCACATCAAAGTGCAAGTAGATAAATAGGTACTGCTCTGGCGGGAAGGTAAACGGCGTTTCCGTGAGCTACTCTGGTTCGCCAGAAGCAGCTTAGTCATACTGGCCACGTGACCCGGAAGCTGTCTGTGGACAAACGCCAGCTCCCTCGGCCACTAAAGCGAGATGAGCGCCGCAACCCCAGAGTCGGTCACGACTGGACCTAATGGTCAGCGGTCCCTTTACCTTTTATGTAGTCTACATTTTAGGGCCTCAGATTAGGAGGTGCCTCTAAATACCACTGCCCCCCAAAAGCTAGTCAGATAGTCAGTTTTTAGTTGCATCCTCACCTACAAACCTATATAGCAAATACTAAACTTCATTCTTTCCACTTTCATTGTCCGTTGAACAATCAACCTTTAAGGTACAGTGGTGCCTTGCAAGACGAAATTAATTCGTTCCGCGAGTTTTGTCGCCTTGCGATTTTTTTCTTCTTGCGAAGCACGGTGTCGGGAAAGTTTTGGAAAAGCTTCAAAAATCACCAAAGTCTTTAAAAACCTCAAAAAAGGCTACCACACCGCGTGCTATGAGATGCTCCTCGAAGTCAAGTTGCAACTGTATTAACGGTGTTAAGAAAAAGGAAACAAACTTGCAAGACGTTTCCGTCTTGCGAAGCAAGCCCATAGGGAAAATCGTCTTGCGAAGCAGCTCAAAAAACAAAAAACCCTTTCGTCTAGCGAGTTTTTTGTCTTGCGAGGCATTCGTCTTGCGAGGTACCACTGTAATGCTATGTGGCCACTTAAATTTGACATAGTTTAAGGCTTCAGAGTATCTTAATCCTGCCCTGGGCCAAATGAGGAAAGGTGAGCTTTAGCACCTGCTTGCCTCTCCTCTGTGACCTTCTCCAAAGACCCTGCTGCCAGTTCCAGCATCCTTGGTCTAGCAGTTTTATAATAGCTCCTTGCAGGGCTGCATCATCCTCCTGGGACAGCGGGGAAGGGTGCAAGAAGGGCAAGGGACATCCCAGTTTGCGCAAGTGGGTGAAGAGGCTGGTTTTACTTTTATGTAGTCACAAGGAAGAGAAGGCCTTTTCTGTGGTGGCACACCCAACTTTGAAATGCCCCCCCAAGGAGAGAAATATTCCGCCAACATTACAACTATTTTGGTGCCAGGTTAAGACATTTTGGTTTACTTTTTGTGCAGGTCCCATTTGTAGTTTTCTATTTGAAATGCTGCTGAAGTGGGCGGCTTGTGGAAGGTGAAAGAAACATGGGGAAATGATTTTTTCCTCCATCTCCAATAGTACATTTTGTCAAACAAGATCCTATCCTATCTGGAATTGACAACAGTAACAGCACATATGTGCCTCTATAAACATGCAAGGGGTTGCATACTGCTAAATAAGTACTCTGAGTAGATGCGATGATATTCATGGACCACAGTCAACCACGATTACTTCAATTGCCAAAATAAATAAGATGCATAGGGGTGTTTTTTTAAATACAAAAACTTGCAAGAACACAATTGCTCACTAGATGGCAGCACAGTGTCACCAATGCATGTTGCTTAGTGGCTATCGCATATGCCTTCGAAAAGGTCACATTATATGGTTAGATCATTAGATGTAATATTCTGTCAAACCCAAATGTAACGGGGGGCGGGGGATCCTATGCATATTTCCTCAGAGGTATGTCTCACTGCATCCCAGTGAGCTTTGTGGCTGAGTAAAGATTTGAACTCTGGACTTTGCAGTTTGACACTCTTCTAACCCATGGGTAGGCAAACTAAGGCCCGGGGGCCGGATCCGGACCAATCGCCTTCTAAATCCGGCCCGCGGATGGTCCGGGAATAAACGTGTTTTTAAATGAGTAGAATGTGCCCTTTTATTTAAAATGCATCTCTGGGTTATTTGTGGGGCCTGCCTGGTGTTTTTACATGGGTAGAATGTGTGCTTTTATTTAAAATGCATCTCTGGGTTATTTATGGAGCATAGGAATTCGTTCATTTCCCCCAAAAAATATAGTCCGGCCCCCTACAAGGTCTGAGGGTCAGTGGCCTGGCGCCCTGCTGAAAAAGTTTGCTGACCCCTGCTCTAACCACTATGCACCACAGCTGGTTTGCTTGATAGCAGCAGCAGCGGGGGGGGGGGGAGCAGTATCTTATCATATCTTATCTTATCCAAATGAGCCGACTATCTAATCTCTCTCTCTATTTAAAGTTACAGGAAGTTAGCCGTGTTGGTCGGCCATAGTCAAAACAAAATAATAAAAAAAAATCCTTCCAGTAGCACCTTAGAGACCAACTAAGTTTGTTATTGGTATGAGCTTTCGTGTGCATGCACACTTCTTCAGATACACTGAAACAGAAGTCACCAGACCCTTATATGGGGAGGGGTATTACTCAGAAGGGTGGTGGGAATAACACCATTACTGGTCCCAACACCATCAAACATACCATCTCAGGACTATTTAATTGCTCATCTTCTAACATTGTGTATGCCAACAGTGCCCTTCAGCTCTCTATATTGGACAAACAGGCCAAACCCGACGCCAAAGGATCAATGGACATAAATCTGACACCAGGAATCACAAGACAGAGGAACCAGTAGGAGAACACTTCAATCTCCCAGGACAGTCTATACAAGATCTCAAAGTAGCTGTCTTATTACGAAAGAATTTCAGAAACAGACTGGAAAGAGAAGTTGCTGAATTGCAACTTATTACCAAACTTAAAACCATGGAGAGACCTGGTCTGAATAGAGACATTGGATTCTTTTCTCATTATACCTGAGGAAGCTATTTTTAGTCATCTCACCCCTTGCTTTTTCCTGTAAGACCAATTGCAGTCGTTAACAGGTTTACCACACCTATCGGCCATTCCCACCACCCTTGAGTAATACCCCTCCCCATACTGTATAAGGGTCTGGTGACTTCTGTTTCAGTATATCTGAAGAAGTGTGCATGCACACGAAAGCTCATACCAAGAACAAACTTAGTTGGTCTCTAAGGTGCTACTGGAAAGAATTTTTTTTATTTTGTTTCTCTATTTAAAGGTAGCAACAAAGCGGGGAGAGGAGGGAAAGAGAGAGAGAAATCCTCCTTTTCCTCAGAGGCGCCATAAAACTGAGAAGCGGAGGGGTGGAAAGAGGCGGCGAAGGTGCACCGCCGCCTCTCCGCCACTAGGGGGCGCGGGCGGACAGGCGGTGTCACGTGACCTCCGCGCGCCGCGGCGGCCTGTCTTCATTCTATCCCACTCACCCGCAACGGCCGCACTCCGGCCTCCGCGCGCTGAGCTCCACGGGCAGTTCCCAGAGGCCCCCGCAGTCTTCCGCTTCTTCCTCGGAGCCGCTCGCCGGAGCGGGAGGCCTCAGCAGCGGCTCCTCGTCTTCTCTGCCTCCCGCGGCGTCCGTTGCCGGCGTCTCCCTCCCCTCCATCGCTTCTGCCCTGCCCCGGAACGTTCGGGAGAGGGCGCTAGGACCCCGCCGGTCCCCGAAAGTTGGAACGCCGGCCGCGTGATGGGAAAAAGGCTTTCCTCCTCCTCCCGCCCCCGCCGGACATGCTCAGCCAATCAGAAACGCGGCTCCAGCCAATCGGGAAGCAGCGTGCTCTTCAAAGACTTTGGCTTTCATGCCTTTGCCTCTTTTGAGCCGGGAAATACCTGTGCTAAGTGCTGGGTGCGAATCACCGCCTTACCCGGATTCTAAGAATTCAGGTCTGTTCTCCGCTTGTAGGAAATCATCTTCTGCGGCACAACAAATTCTCCTATGGATCAGTTAATGATTAAGGAACTGGAAGTAAGAGAAATGGACAGTTTTCCCAGAGGGGAGATGTAGGAGGTGCAGATCCTCCAAAGATCAGCTTTATGAACAAGTTTGTTTTTTTACTTGCTCATTAGTTATATTCATACATTACATTCAGGGAGTGTACACGCATTCATATATTCACATGCATCATTCACAGAATGTGTAATCACTAGCCAACATGCATTTGATGCCCCCAAAGGAAATGGCTTCAATGACTCTTATCACATGCGTCCTTGAAGCAATTCCCTTTTACTGGCAGCAAGACAAGGGCATACCAGTCCTGATGTATTTCCTGAAACAGTTTCCTACCAAGTAAGAATAGTGGCAGAGTGGGATGCAATGTTGCTCTTCATTTTTTCCCTATCTTCCAAGCTCCAGTGGTGAAGCTAGTTAATTTTAGACCTTGGACTTAATAGTCTTAGGAGCTCTGTTCTTCTCACCCCACTGGTCAACTTCAGTTGTAAAGCTCACCGGAGCAAGTTTGAAAAAGAGGGGAAATGAAGAGCAACACTAGATTCCACACTGCCACAATTCTTCTTATTGAATGTAAACCTTTATAGAAACTTTTTCAGGAAGTACAACATGATTGACATGCCCTGCCTTGTTGCCAGTAAAATGGAATTGTTTCAATTGTAATAAGTCACTGAATCCATTTCCTTTTGCTTGCAGCAGATGTGTGCAGACTAAAGATTGTTCACTTGCTGAATGTTACATGTGAATAACCATGAATGTACAGCTCTACTATTTGTGTACCAAGGTACAAAGACTGCACACTTAATGTAACATAAGAACATCCCTATAGAGTTACAAGTGAGCAGTGAAGTAGCCATGTTTGCTGATAACCACCAAATTGTGCAGGGAAGTTCAAATAATATTGCCAGGAGTTCTAAAAGGATCTTTCCAAATTGAATGGACAGTAAAATAGCAAATGCAATTCAGTGTAAGCAAGTGAAAACTGATGCACATTAGGGCAAAAAAATCCGAATTTCACAGGTATATGCTATGCTAAGAGCTTGAACTGGTGGCACAGTGGATAGCTGTGCAACAGCTTTGAAAAAGGCAAATTCCACAATAGGGATAAATGAAAAGGGATTGAAGATAAGATTGCCAGTATTGTCACACCGTTCTACAAGGCTACAGTGCAACCACACTTGGGATGATGTTTATTGTTATGGTCACTTCTCATCAAAGAGACTAGAACCGGAAAGGGTTCACAATTGGACAACCAAAAAGAGCAAGGGGATGAAGCAACTCCCTTGTGGTGAAAAGTTACAGTCGGGGAGGGGCTAGTTTTAAAGAGAGAGAAAATATCCCTCAATACTTGAAACTTATAGACATCCAGGAAAGCTGAATGTTGGAAGATTCAGGATAGACAATTTTAAAAAATACTTCCCACCATGCATAGTTAAATGATGGAATTCTCTCTGAGAAGATGTAGTGATGGCCACCAACCTGGATGATTTTAATTGATGTTTAGTGGCGCTGTGGGTTAAACCACAGAGCCTAGGACCTGCCGATCAGAAGGTCGGCGGTTCGAATCCCCACGACGGAGTGAGCTCCCGTTGCTCGGTCCCTGCTCCTGCCAACCTAGCAGTTCGAAAGCACATCAAAGTGCAAGTAGATAAAGGTGGGAAGGTAAACGGCGTTTCCGTGCGCTGCTCTAGTTCACCATAAGCGGTTTAGTCATTCTGGCCACATGACCTGGAAGCTGTACACCGGCTCCCTCGGCCAATAAACCGAGATGAGTGCCGCAACCCCAGAGTTGGCCACGACTGGACCTAATGTTCAGGGGTCCCTTTACCTTTACCTAAATTTGTGGAGGATAAGGCTATCAGTTGCAACTATCCATGATGGCTAAGTTTAGAGCCTTCATGTTAGAGGCAATATGCCAGTTAATACCAGTTGCTATGAATGACAAGCGTTCATTGCACTTATGGCCTGTTTGTGGGCTTTCAACAGATATCTGGTCAGCCACTGTGAGAATAAGATGCTAGATGGGCCTTTCATCTGATACAGCAGATATGGGAGCTTATTTCCTTAAGTCCCATGCACAATTCTTCTTTGCAGTGTTAGGGGGGAAATAAATAAGATTTCACATGCCAACAGGTTCTGTGCTGCTAATATTAAGAAGTAAACAGCCCCTTTGCCCAGAAATCCACGCTGTGCTTTCACATGCAAGGACTTTGTGTGCCGAAGTATCATGTGTCAACATAGCCAGGGAGGCCCTCAAGTGTTTTCAATACAAATACATCCAAACAATGTGAAAACTGAAACTGAATAAAATTACTAAATGGCACGATACTGATCTGCAACAAAAACAGAAGTTAATATCAATGATATAGAATATCAAGATATTCTAACTGCATACAATTGCTTATACACAGTGTGTTGTAATTCTGGGGAAGGGGCACATGGGCCATACCTGGCAAAGGGGTCAAAGGAGCAACTGAACACATTGGGTCAGCTGTATGCAAGCCCTCATTTCGGAAATGCTGCTCCACTCCATGGTTTGCATATTTCCCCAACAGCAAAGCTTTCAGTGGCCCTCTTCTAGGGTGGCTGCTTCAGTGTCCTTCTTTCTGCAGAGTGGCAAAGTTTCTCTTTTCCACTTCAGTCTCCTCAGGAGTAAATTCCAAACCCCCTAGACCATTGGTTCCTCCCAGTAACTTCAGGTTTGTTGTTTGTTTATTTATGAAATAAATAAAGGAACTCAGGCCTGCAAACAACAAACACTAAAACACCTTAAAAACAAACATCAGAAAAACAGTTTGCTACAGATGCACACTGGGAAAACATTCCAAGGGAGGGCTCTCACCAGAGGGGACAGGTGTATCTTGCCTCGGTGTCTTTGGCCTAGGCAGGACTTCTATCCCTCTCTAGACACGCAGGTATATTTTAAAAAGATCCAAAATATTTCTGCTTCGTATTACTAAGTAATTCTTATTTATTTTAATTAATGGCCATCTATCATGGATGCTTTAGCTAAAAGTCCAACATTGCAGGGGGTTGGGTCCCTTTCAACTGTACAGTTCTATGATTCTACGAGTTATTAAATTTCTATACCACCCAAGGAGCACTGGGAAGTTTACTGAATCAAAACACACAACACAATAACAAACAACAACAATACCCCCCAGCTTAAAAGACTATAGATTGTTTATATTAGCCAAAGGCATGGGCGGAGTGCTTTTGCCTAGTGCCTAAAGATATGTAACAGGTACTAGGCAAGCCTCCCTGGGGAGGACATTCCAGAAGCAAGGAGCTACTGCAGAAAAAGCCTGTTCCTGTTTTGGCACCCTCCAGACATCTCATGGAGCAGGCACGAAGAAGGGGAATTCCTTTACATCTATGACTTTTAGTACAGTACTAGACTGTTAGTGTGTTTGTTCCAAAGCATGCAAGCTAGTGATTGCAGAGGTGGTGTTAGAGCTCGTTAGTACAGCTCATAAGTTGCATTCATGAGGTTCCAGGTTCAGTTTCCACTTAAAGGTTCTCCCAAAGGAAATGCTAGCAAAGAACTATGTGTGAGACAGAGAGGTACTGTAAGGTTAAAAAGGTAAAGGTAAAGGTACCCCTGCCCGTACGGGCCAGTCTTGACAGACTCTAGGGTTGTGCGCCCATCTCACTCAAGAGGCCGGGGGCCAGCGCTGTCCGGAGACACTTCCGGGTCACGTGGCCAGCGTGACATCGCTACTTTTCGAAATACACCAATACTTATATCTCTGTAGTGGGATACTGAAGATAAGTTACTTTTTTAAAAAAGTCTTTCAAATGTGCATGAACAATTTCTGGTATAGTATTGCACAGAAAAAAATCAGAGCAAAATATTCTGCCCCAATCTATTTGATATTTCAGGATTATGATAAAATTTGTTGGTATTGAAACTTCAAAACCATGATTTCACTTCTTAAAACAATGTTCTCCATGAATAGCTCTGTCAATATGTTCTCAAATACTGCATAGAAATTACTTGGGGGGGGGGGAGCTCAGTGCCCCCCCCCCCACTGAAGATGTCACTTTTCTGTAGATATTTCTTAACTACAGTAAAAGAAATAATTGTTAAATGGGTTTGCCAATACCATGGAAAGTCCCCGAATTTGAAACTCTTCTCTTCTGCATTCTCATTTAAGCCTTCTGCTTTCCATCCCATGGATTTCAGTAGTCAGTAACATATGATGATGAACAGCCATAGAGTTAATTGCTTATGATAACCAAGAGGGGAACTTCAGAAAGAATTACTGTCTCATTTTAGACAGTTGAACAAAAACTAAAATAGCAAGTTGCTTAAGTTCACAATGAAGTCCTAAACTGTAAGAAACAGATTCATGTTTCTTTATACCATGACCTCAATTCATCTGAAAATAGTCAAGACGAAAGACATTTCCACACAGTAGATTATTGTGGAGCTGGTACTGCTCATCAGAAATTCTGAGTAAATGTGCTTAGGTTATTCTGGAAATCCTATGCATACTTAGCAGTTAACACAGTGGGATCTTTCTAAATAAACCATGCATAGAATTTTTTTCCACTGAAAGCATTAGGATTTTAGTGACAATATCAGATTGGTTTCAATGGTATATAGTCAGAACTACCTTTAGCTGAGTTGGAAACCAGCTGATTTTTAAAGTTTAAAATTAGGTTGCAATTCTATATACATTTACTGGAGAGTAAGCTTACTTACTGGGTGTAAGTAGACATGTGTAAGAGAGTGCTGCAAAAATCATTTCACTAACTTATACTAAAAGACAATTAATTTGGAAACCCACATTATTCTCTTTAGGATTTGTTAGTAACTGGGATAACCAGAAAATGCACAGGATTAACTATATTCCATGTATACACCCCTTCTTCTACTCCACCGACCTGAACTCAGACTTTTTAAAAAATAAAAACACATTTTTATTTTCTCTACACACCACTTTCCCCTCATTTTACCCCAATACCTTCTCCTTCCAGCATCACAAGGCCATGTCACATTATCTGGGAAAATATACTCTATTGATTTTAAATGTTTTTAAACCAGCTTTGCCTTAAAACAATGCTCAGGACATATAGCACAATAAGGTCACTTCACATTTGTATAAGACTTAAAGCTAAATTCATAATGTCAGTTGCATCAGATGAGTTAACCTGACCTTTTCTGAAAATATATTCAAACTACAGTGACACTTAATATAATTACAATCCTATTTACACTTATTTAGCAGTAAGCCCCACTGAACACAGGGCTTACTTTTGAGTAAATATGAAAAAGGTTGCACTGTATGCCTACTGCATATTTCAAAGTGGCAGACTAATAATAGGAACAGTTTGAACTATTTTTTTGAGTGCTGAGGAAACTGAGTGTGTAATGATACTGTAACAATGAGACATGCTCCAGGATTACTATTTGTGGGGGAGGTGGTCAGTTACTATTTACAGATTATCCAGACCTGTTAATTTGTTTTTGAACAAACAGAAAGCAAGTGTTAGGGCTTGCCACACATTAAGGTATCCCCTGCATGCGAAGACAGACTCCAGCAGATTGAGTGAACACCAATAGTGGATCCAATAGTCAAGGGGACTTCTGCATGTGCTGTTTAGGGAAATGAGAGGGGCAGATGAGGCTAGTCAACATGGGAAGGTAGCCCCATATAGAAGAAAAACTGTGATCTAAACCTCCACTGCCTTGTGGTCATACTCCTTTGTGAGAAAGGCTTCAGGAGTAAACTCTGAGGAGCCATCTGTACTCACTGCCTTGTGGGACATCTTCAAGAGAAGTCTAAGGAGTAAATCCTATACAAATCCAAAGTGGAGTCTGTAAGGCGGTCGGAATGTGTCTTGTTTGCCTCCTTCCAGCAACTCCTGCTGCCAAGTTTGTGTCAAATGTATTGCTCTGCTTTCCTTTGGACCACATCAGGGAGGTATGGGGGGGAAGGTCTTATATCATCTGGGCAGCCCATGTTCTCCATACACACTGCCTTGGCACTTCGATGCTGCTTATGCAGCAAAAGCAATGTGGGAGGCAGCAGTTATGAAAGCCGCAGCAGATGAATGTCATTCTCCAACGGTTCTGACTTCACCCCTGAAGCCGTCCTGGGACAGACAAGATGCCAACCAACCAGGGTACAGGTCGTTTTAGGGCCAGACCAGATTCAGTGCCATTCATGCAATTGCTAACGACATTTAGCTTCCTAGACATTTGTTAGTGGCTTTAAAAAAATGGAATTAGAAGATCCAGATCAAGACTGGATCTTTATTGATTTTCCAAAATTTTTAAACAAACAAACATAGATCTTAACTTTGCTTAATCCAGTCTTAGTAACATTAAGTGACTTCCTCAAACCCCCCTGGGTGAATTTCAGTGTATATCATTGTAACAGTTTTCCAAAACAGATTTTTCATAAAAGTAACTTAATCGTCTTTCTTTTCCTTTTAACTTTAAACATATTATTCTATCACATCCAGATCCAGACTTTGGTGGAGAGGAAGGTAGGGATACTTTTTAGCTAACTTTCCTCTCCAAGGCTTTATTTCCTAACAGCAGAGCCGCGCTTCTTCACCAGTTTGCCACGTCCATCCCTTGGCTGCTCCCAGTTTCCTCACATCCTCCTCCCACATCCTCACTGGACCCTTTCACAGCTGAAGCCTTGGCTCCAGGATCCTCCCTGCGGGAACAGAACACACCGGCTCCTCTACCACACCCAGCCCGACACACACACACACTCTCTCTCTCTCTCCCCAACACACGCCGCCCTTCCTCACGGTCATGACGAATACGTGACAACAGCCACACCCCGCCATGGACTAGACGGTTCTACTGCGCTTGCGCTCCTTCCTCCCTTAAGTCGACGTTCCTTCCCGAGCCACCAATGCGCCTGCGCGCCGGCGGCTCCGGCTTCCGCGTCTTTTTCCTCGCGGAGGCACGCAGCCTCAACTGCGCATGCTCTGAACCTTATCCTCTCCCTCCCTCCCTCGCTCACAGTCCTAGCGCAGGCGTACATAACGATCCCTAATGGGGAAAAGGAGGAGCTCGCGGGTTGCTGGGTGAACCGGGCGACGTCAGGGCCGGCGGTCCCGCTCTCGCGATGGTTCAATTCGCAGGAGAGGGTCGGCCCGCTATTGTAGGCTGAGGGGGAGAGAGAGAGAACTCTGCGAGGGCCAGTAAGAAGCCGGTTTGAGGGAGGAAGTCCGCGCGCGCGAGGGGCTCCTCCGCCCGCCCCCTGAGGTCGCGAGCGGACGTTGCCTCTGCCCGAGAAGGGGAGGAGCCTCGGAGGAAGACCCCGCCCCCCACTATGTGCCGCCGCCGCCGCCCCCTGCGGGACTAGCCGCGGCCGAGCGGCTCCGGGTGCCTCAGCTGCCCTGCCCGTTGGCGGAGAGCGTCGGCTCTGAAAGCGGGAGCCTCGCCGCTATGAACCTGCACCAGGTGCTGACGGGGGCTGTCAACCCCGGGGACAACTGCTTCTCCGTGGGGAACGTCGGCGGGCATCCCTTCACGGTGAGTCTCCCTCCTCTTCCTCCTCAGCTCCGGTGCCACCGCGACGAGAGGGTCGCTCCCCCCCCCCTCAGGCCGCCTCCGACGGCGCCCCTTCCCCGGGCAGCGCTCGGCCTCCCTCAGCCGGCAGGCGAAGAGGGCGCGCGGGCGGGCAGTTTGCGCCAGGGACGGTGGCACCGGTGCGGGTGGGACGCTCGGCAGGTGCCTTGTTGAAGCACGCCCGAGATTCGCCGGTTCGACCGGAGCCGAGCCTGTATTGGCGTCGGGAGCTGAGCGAGCACGAGACCGGGCCCTTTCTTTGCCATGACGGGGCAAATCAATCCCCTTTATTTCGCTTCCCGCTGCAAGCATTTTTGCCACTTCTCTACAATTATTTTTTATTTTTTGCAATAATGCGCACTCCTCATCTGAGCTGTGGTTAGTTTCCGAAGTGCTTGGGCGTAAGGTGAGTCGGGTTGCATTAATGCCACAGAGGCATTCTCCACATGCTCAGAGGTATCTCCCTTTATTATTATTATTCATTTGTATTGTTATTATAGCTGCGCTTGCTTTAGAAACTGGCCGTTCAAAACGTGTTCAGGGAGGCAAAGTTCTTCTTTTCTTTGGAAGGGATATCAAGGACAAGTGGCCAAGAGATAGGGTTATGCTCCTGTATGGCACTCTTGTGGGGCCCAGGAAACATCTGGATTGTCTTGTTTCTGAGGCTGTTATTGATCAGCCTGCCTGTTATGTAACTAACAGCTGTGCTTTCCAATCGAAAACAACTGAAAGTGACATTTGAGCGTGGTCTTTATATATTCCATTTTGAGGTTTGAAATGCAGTACTCCCATTCTTGTGCGCTTGTGACAAAATGTGTGTGATTGGGCAATCAAGACAAAGGGTCATGCTAGAAACAACTTTTGGGCATATACAGTTCCTTATGGCTTAATTATTAGTACTATTTTCTGGTCATCACATGAGTCTCTTCTTGGTCTTCCCTCTCTGTAAGAGTCCCAGAGGGTGGCCTTTTCTGTGTTGGCTCCCTGTTTGTGGAATACTCTCCCCAGAGAGGCTCACCTGACACCTTCATACATATATTTAGCTACCAGGCAAAAATGTTTCTCTATAACCAGACTTCGGCTGATTAAACATTATATGGCCTATTAAATGTGTTTGTGGGAGAGGAGTTATTGGTTTGCTTTTGTATTTGTGCTCTCATTTTGTATTTTAAAGTTGACTTGCTTTTGCAGTTGATTAGAATTGATTGTAAGCCACAATTCCTGCTTTATACATAATGTCAAGTCAGAAATTGGAGACAGAGAAACTGAAACATGGTTTATTCCTCCTTTTAGCTGTGTGGGAAAAGGAGTGTGGACTGCTTGAGTCCAAGGTGTTGCACGGGCTCCCAGTGCAACAGTAAAACATGGTGTAAACTGACTCAGCCCAGGGTAAAACTGCTGTTTGAAAACTGGTCTATGGTCACCCAGAATCATTTTTTTGTACATTTCAACCTCCCTCGGGAAACCCTTAGTATAAATACAGTTTGATCTTACCACTTTCCTTAGGGATTAGTGTTGCATGTATATATTCTTTGTACTCCTGGATCACAGGTGGTTCCGAACATAAACTACAAAACAAGAACACAACATACATAATAAGACAAAAACAAAACAATATGTTTTGTTATGACTAATTATAATGAGAATAAAGCATATTTTGGTGGTCTCTGGAAACATTTGTTCTTCATAACTTGTTTCGTAGTGAGGCTTTTTTCTTTAACACTACTTAATAGGATGGCAATAAAATACATTTCTTGATATCATAGAGTTAGAAGGGATCCCAAGGTTCATCTTGTCCAACCCCCTGTGATGCAGAAATCTTAACTAAATCATACATGACAGATGGCCATCCATTCTCTGCTTAAACACCACCAAGGAAAGAGAGTCCATCACCTCCCGAAGGAGTCTGTTCCACTATTGAACAACTCTGTTAAAAAGGTAAAGGTACCCCTGCCCGTACGGGCCAGTCTTGACAGACTCTAGGGTTGTGCGCCCATCTCACTCTATATGCGCTGTCTGGAGACACTTCCGGGTCATGTGGCAAGCGTGACGAAGCTACTCTGGCGAGCCAGAGCCGCACACGAAAACGCCGTTTACCTTCCCGCTGGTAAGCGGTCCCTATTTATCTACTTGCACCCGAGGGTGCTTTCAAACTGCTAGGTTGGCAGGCGCTGGGACCGAGCAACGGGAGCGCACCCCGCCGCGGGGATTCGAACCGCCGACCATGCGATCGGCAAGTCCTAGGCGCTGAGGTTTTACCCACAGCGCCCTAAACTTCTAAGCATGTTTGGTTTCTATGCTCTTTCTGCCATGTATCTCCTTGCTGCAACATTTAATTATTTGAGATTTTGTCTGCATATTTATTGGAATGAAATGGTTAAACTCTTAAGTTTTGTTGCAGAGGTAGACCAGAAAAAGCTGATGAGTCTTACTACAGTCTTTCAGAGTATTTGCAACACTAGTTCTAAGACAGTGCTGGAAATTCTGAAAACCTACTGTGTTGATTCCAGTTGTTATACCATAATAGAAAATGGGAAGTATTATTTTGGAATGTGTGTTCTAGACTTGCTGTGGTGAGTGTGTGTAACTATCTATCTATCTCTATATATTCAACTTTGTAGCATTTCTTTTTTGCCTGTACTTTGTACATCATCAGGAAAAAGTGTAAGTTTTCCAAGCTATGAACTTAAGTAAAACACAACTGATCTTTTAAAATTACCGTATTTTTCCATGCATAAGATAATGTTTTAAAAATTGCTTAAAAAAATTAGTAAAAAATTGAGGGTTGTTTTATACAAAGATGGTGAATGCACAGGGATGTTTTTTTTTTTTTAAACATCACTTACCTTCTGAAGAAGCTGCCTGAACATCGTAGCCACTGTCCCTCCCAGGAGCCCAGTTTTGTTGATCTCCAAATTTGCCCGATCTTGGGTGAGCACCTCCCCCCCTTTTTGATGTTTAAATACTGTTTTCTTAATTTTTGGTTCAAAAAAATAGTGATTGTCTTATACATGGAGGTGCCTTATACGTGGAAAAATACGGTATATGCAAATTGTAGACTAGCTATTAATTCAAAGTAGTTGTAGCATGTGTCTTGGAAAATGCTATATTATCTTTTTAATCTCCCGTCCCTGCAATAGTTGTGAAATTAGGTAAACAATAATAAAAAGATTGTCTTCTGCATAATATTCCAAGGGGCATGAAAGTAACTCCACTCCCTTTGCTCGTGCAAAGTATTGGATTGACAAAATAGCAAGTAGTTCTTAACACATGTTAAAAGGACTTAAAACAATCAGTCTACGAGAGAAAACAAAAAATACACTCTTAAAATTGTTAAATGCTTCAAATTTCCAAATCTAGCCATTTATGAGTTAAACCAGTGGATCAACTAGCCTTTATTTATTTCCTCTGATGGGCAGCAGTTCTCTAAAGTCCCCTGCAGAATTATTCCACCACTCCCTGCCCTTCTACCTGAGATGGTTAACTGGAGATGTCAGGAATTGAATCTGGGACCTTGTGCTTGCTGAGTTCTATGAGCCACCCTCCATGTTTTTATTATGGCACCATCTAGTAAAATTCTAGTTCTTCAAGGTCTGACAGGTTCTTCATTGTTTTAAAAATGAACAAATGAACATAAGCACTGTTTATCAAATAGTCCAAGAACGTAGTAATGTCAACAGTAACTGCTTGTTGGTGTGAATTCAAGGAAGTGATTACATCACAAGTAGCTTGGGACATTTTTATCTTAGAGGTGACCTGGAAGGCCTTTTCCTTGTTTAAATGAAAATTCAACTATTTATTCACAGGTTTTCTGTTGTGAAAAGTTTCTAGAAGTAGGAAAAAATGCCACTGGCATGGAGGATAAGTTGATGTTTTATTAAGATTGTATCTTTTTCATAGGAAAAGCTCTTTCTCCCAACCCCCCTTTCTATGTTGTTATGTCAAGGGATGCAATGAGGAAAATTCTGGGTGTTTTGTTTTAAGCAGGGGTGTTGCCCATCAGTGCAATTGGGAGTGCATAGACTTTGTTGCTGTAATATTATAGCAATGATATGCATTGATCTGTTTTGCTAAAGAAAGTTCTGAATGTCTTCCAGATTCTGCTTTTTAGAGGGAGACTAAACATTTCTATTTTGCACTATCTAATTTAAGATTCATCCCTTAAATGTAGGTGTAAATCCCATTACTTAGGAAGTAGAAACGTGTTTATTATCAGACAAGACCAAACATTTAGGTGACAGCGTCCTTCTCTATTTCCATTTTTAGACTATTAAAAACTAAGGTATTTGTATTATACCCAGCAAAAAAGAAGTCCCACACACTCTTTTTTGTTTAAGGTAACCTGAAGAAAAAATCTGATAAGCTCAATAGATTGCTTATTGTTTTGGGAAGTTTTACTTGGTCCTAGTGGAGGTATTACTTCACTACTGCTTTGTGGATTTTTTTCTTCTACTTGACTAACACAACTGTATAAATATATTAATTGATTTATGTTAAGTTTATTGCACTGAACAGGCTATTAATTCCTTTAGGCAATGTATTAAAAACTGTGTCTCAGCATTGGCAACATATTTAAATTCCTAGGCATCAGAATCAATACTTTAGGAGCCAGCATAACAATTTGAGGTACTGGATACATGCAAAAAAGAACAAAATGACAGCATTTTAAAGTGCTAGCATCACATTTTCAGTGCTGGCCAGTGCAGATGCATCTTGAGTTCGCTGCCATTTGAGGGGTTGATGGGGTGCAGCTTCAGAATGGGACTGAAGAGTAAGGAGTCTTAGGATTTAGCTGTATCCTTAACAGGTTGCTAAGCCTGAGCTGGAGATACTTTGGTTTTCATCAGTCTCTGCTATTTTCCTAATAACTTACTTGAGGAGTAGAACTGGTGGTCTGTTGTCCCATTTGGGGACTGCCTACAGAGGCTGCCAATCTGACTGATTGCATGTTAAGAACTACAGTATATGAGTTCCAGAAACACTGCAATTTCTGTAGCTTTTTTATTTGTTGCTTCTCTCTGAATTTAGCAGCTGTGTCTAGTCTCATTACCTGGCAATACATATTTGGAGACTTGTAATGAGGATTTTCATACAGGGCTGGTCCTCCAAAGCTGCCCTGGAAGATCTTGATAAGGTTTAAGACAATGCACAGCCCAGTTTCTACAAGGGCAACATCTACGATATGTTATGATTATTCTATTTTAACAAAGCATAATGTGGCCCCTGGTCAAAAGTCTTATCAAAAGAGAGAAGGGGTTGGGAGCCGCTCAAACAATAATTGTTGTAACACTATCTGAGCAAACCTCATATTCTTCTCCAGTTGATGCTGTGAAGAGGAAACCAAAAGCTTTCACTTCCAGATTCAGTTAGCCACAATTTATAATACAGCTGAATTCCTAAGAAGTGTTCTGTGTTCATTATATTGTGCAAGTACCCAAAATATAATGTTGCAGTTGCATTAATGCGTGACAAGGCCGTAAGAGTTCTTCCTGTTAGTTTGCAGTAGCAGTGTGTCTTTAGTAGTAACCAGTTAGGTGCTTCTGGAAGCTTTCAAGCAGATTATGATATAACAATCTACTTTTGTCCATAGCATCCTATAATCAAAAGAGAGCCAGCATGGTATAGTGGTTAGAGTATTGGACTAAAATCTGGGAGACTAGGATTCAAGTCTCCACTTGGCCATAAAGCACACTGGGTGACCTTGGACCAATCCCTACCTGTCAGCCTAATCTACCTCACAAGGTTGTTGTTGGGATTAAATGAAACGGGGAAGAACCATGTATACCATCTTGAACTCATTGGAGGAAAGGGCAGGATAATAAACTAACTAACTAACATTGTCCCTAAATGTAGAAGTTCAGTTTATTGGCCTACTTGAGTCTCTAGCAATATCCTAAAGGCAGATTAGTGTTGTAGGTATATGTGCAATGAGATTAACCTCTCCAGGGAGATTGCAGGAGCTAGGACAGAAACAGGGCACACTTCATTCCCCACACTCTTCAGAAAATTTTCTCACCTCCATATAGGCCAAGTTCTCACAAAGCATTAAACCATTGTTCCAAATAAACTATAGTTTAAACACAAGTGCTCCCCCCCCCTTTCTCCTTACTGCGCTGCATGGGGCCAGAAACATGTCTGAGTATGGCTTGTTGTGATGTTTGAGCCCAGGCTTATGGTTTGTCTCTCTCTAAGCAGGCCATAAGCAGAAGCTAAACTTTGTTCTTGGCTTTGACTTTGTATAAGTGTATAGCTGCTTGTGCTTGTTCACAAGAGATGTATTTTGCTGAATTTGTGTGAAAGTAATTATTGAAATAACTTAACTGGCATCCAGTCAGGATGTATATGCTACTTACAAAGTGGCTTTTCTCATAGCATCAATACAAAGCTTTAATTTTTTGTTAAGGATGGTTCAGTGGATTAAATATGTGGCTACACTTAAAAACCAGATGATTAGGTAAATGGGTTTTAAAGATTACCGGTAATTACTGAAATACACCTTTCTTTGAATTGTCTTACAAATAAAAAAAAGGCAGAGCAGTTATACAATTTACTTTTTTCTAGGCATATGCATCAGGATGTGATATTGTGATATTGGGGACTGATTTTGAAAGATTACAAATAATTCCTGGAGCAAAACATGGAAATATACAAGTGGGATGTGTAGATTGCTCTATGCAACAAGGGAAGGTAAGTAGAAGTGGTACTCTTGTTAAACTTACCTATCTTATTTGTTCTTGTAATATGCATTTTGCAATGCCATCCTGTCTGAAGGTGATATTAAACTCTTCAAATACTTTTAGTACTAACCCTTCACAAGGACCTGCATGTAAGAAGATTGAATTATGCTTGCAGCTATCCTGCTATTTTAATTCCTCTGCTGGAGACTCCTGTTTATATTCTAGAGTCTGATACAGTACTGTGTTTTGAAGAACAGTCTGGTCATCATTATGCTACAAGGTTCTTTGTGAATGTGGGCCCAAGCCCACACAAAGGCAGTCACTTCCTACAGCGGTGGGTACATAGCCAGCTAAGACATCTTGTGGCTGAGATAGTACAGGTTTTTCCATGAGACTATCCTCTTTCGTTTTCTTGGCTATCACATGTTGTTTGTTTAAGCAAGAAACAAACCATGATTTTGATGACACTATACAGGGCTTTGCTGTTTGTTGTTCCTGGCATAGCCAGGATGGGAGGAAAGTGAAACGAACTTAGAGCAGCATGCAGCAGCACTCTGCTGATATGCATTAAACCATAGTTAATATTTAACTGTGTTTGAATATGACATGGGAACCATGCCATCATCAAAACCTAGCACCTTGGAGAGAAGTCTCTTCATGCTATTTCAGATGTCTGCAGGAGTGGCTGGAAGGTTAAGATATGGTCATATAGTAGGAGACACATAGTAATTTACTGTTGTAAATGAAACTTAAAACCAATTTTAAAAATCAACTGAGAGTTACCTTAAAACAGATTTCTTGATGATCTCTCTTGGCCTCTCTTGAAGTTTAAGACACTATCTTAGGACTCTGGATTCTCTGTTTTATCCAACATTGCTTTCTCCTTTGCTGATAAGGTGTGTTTGATTTTGCTCATACATCCACTCTCTGAACTTCTTGCCTTTTTTCTTTTTATTTCTGAAACTGCATAAGCATAGATCATGAAAGGAGAATGAACATCCTTCTGTTAGGAAAGGTGTGAATTTAAGCACACTACCGAATTCATAAACTTTTCCCCAACATAAGACTCCTCTTCACAGTTGAGATCCATGTGAGAATGAAATACTGGAGATTATCACTTTCTTTATTAAGTGCGCAATACCTTTCTACCTTCTTATTGTCTTTACTACTCTAGATTTTGTGCAGTTCTGACAAGATTCTAGTTGGCATTTTTAGGTCATGCTCATGTGTAGATTGCTTTTCCTTGTAATTTGTTTTTGTAATAGATTTTTAATCTTGAACCTGCATCTCACTGCATTTTTCCAGAATTTCTGCAAAAGTAACATTATAAAGTTTTCTTTTTTAAAAAAATAAGACCTGTCCATGAAAATAATAGTGCATTATACACAATATATATATTATTTTATATTGTGCATGAAAGTGGAATATGGTTCTGACAGATGATAGGTGAAGTTAAAATATTTAAACTTCTTTTCATTATTTTCCCCTATGTTTTTTGGATCTGCTTCTCCAGTTCTGTGCAATATGTAAAATTGTGATTATATATGTATCTGTTATTGCCTTACATACAAATATACCTAGATGGTTTCTCTTTGCTTTTTTTTTTACCCTTGCTTGTCTTTAATCCTTTTATTTCAGACTGTCTGAGCTTTTTGTGCCTTAGATTTTTAAATATTTCTTACATGTTAACATCTTGTATGTATTCTTTTTCAAAGTACTGTACTTTTGACACCCAGGATTGCTGAATTCTGATCTGTGTCACACATTTCTTATCATGTTTCAGAGTATCTTTTACATGCATATCACTTTCTCACCCCATTTAAAATACATGAACCATATAAATTGAACAAATGTAATTGTGCATTTTAGCTCCCAGCCTCAGGGTAATTAGATATACTGTATTGTGAGTCTTAACAGAGCTATATGTAGCCATTTCTAACCAAATGAATATTGTGTATCTTCAAAATAACTTAGAGAGTTGCCATTTCTGTGATGGCGATTCTTTGCGTGGAGATACAAAGAAGTTTATGGCTATGGAAGGAAAGTAACACAACCTGCAAGTAAATACAGTACAAACTAATTTTAAAATGCTATTTGCTTTAGATTGCAGCTTCTTATGGGAATGTCATTTGTATATTTGAGCCAGTTCAACACCTAAAACAGAAGAGTAGTCATCATACTGTAAGTAATTTATCTTTTCTATCTTTGCTAAGCATTTGCATTGTGAGTTGTATTTATTTGAAGCCATGGAGGGAAAATGTTCTAGGTGAGTTTTTCCCCGAAGGGAACAGAATTTTTTTTTTGGGGGGGGAGGGGAGTGGAGTGGAAAAATGCAATACTTGGTTTTTTATGCACTCTTTAAATATCAAAAGTAACTTTATTGCTTTAGGAACATAAAATGCATTATGTGTAACTTCATTTACCATAGAATTATTGTTTCTGGCATATTGAAAGTACAGTATATGCATACAATAATTACAAATTAAATTTTTTTTTTTTAAGTTTTTGTTGCAAATGGAGCTACAAGCTGCTGAACTGTAAGAAACTAGCATCTATGTGGTTTTGCCACTTTATAATGAGCAGGCAAAAACATAAAAAACAAACCATCAAAATGGTAGTAAAACAAATTACTATTGAAATCAACTTCTGCATTTTCACATGCCAGTTTATTTCTTGATTTGGTGCAAATATTTCTAGATATAGACCAGTTTCTTTCGCGTGCTGTAGATTTGATGCAAGTACCGGTATTTCCAAACATAGAGCAGTTTCTTTCAGATGCACCGACTTGCTTACTGGCCTCTGGGAAAGTCATGGAAGGGCAATGACCTTCCCAGAGCCCCTGGGGAGCAGTCCTCTGCCTCACTGGAGTGGGGTGGGACGGTTCCTGGGATTCCTGATTTTGAATGTTTTCCCCATTGCATGCGGACTCCTGGAACAAAACTCTTGCGTAAGTGTTGGGCTCACTGTAATGAAGTTTCAGTTTCAGCTTATAGAATTGAACTTTTAGAACTTGTCATTGCTATCTCAGTTATTTGGAAATATTATCCAATAGTTGCTGAAGGAAGTTTGGCAGATCAGTCTTCTGAATTCATTATGCTTTATTTGACAACTATGCCAACTGAATATAAGTGTTTAGAAACAATTTGTATTGCATTTGTGTTTGGTTTGTAGGGATTACATTATCAGTGGCAGAAGTCAGATCAAATTTTACTGGAAGATGCAGTGCATAACTTAACATGGGATCCAACAGGTAAATACAAAATCAGCTAAATGTTTGCCTTTCTTTTCTCCCTGTCTTTCAATGAATTATCTTGTGGCAATAATAATAATAATGTAATTCATATTTAGGCATGTTTCTGTGGAAGGAAGTGTAGTGTTGGGCAGAGCAATCCTGTAGGATGACAGTGGGGGGGGAGTATATGTAATAGAAGAACCACCCAATCTCATGCTTCATTGCTATTATTATTATTATTAATTAAATTTGTATACCGCCGTAGATTTCAGAGCAGTTCACAACATAAAATTCATGCTGGTTAGGGAGAATAGGGAGTGGCTAGAGGGAAAACAAGTGTGTTAGCTGAAGGATTGGCATAAGTCTCCACACTCACCCATCCCAGGGGTATGCAAGTGTCCTCTCTTCCTCTCAAACCACACCCCCCAACCTTGCTTTCTGTTTTCCTGTAACTGACTGACTTGAATATATGTTGAAGCTTATGATACTTTGCAGAATTGATTATTTTTTTCTGCTTGGGGGTGGAGGAATAAGAGACATTTATATGAATGAATTGGGAAAAAACACACACGTCTAAATAGTATAACGGGGGCCGGACTAGATGACTCTATGATTCTATGGAAATTTGATATAAACAGCATTGCTTTTCAGTCATTTTTTACAACACGGTCCCCACTTCCTAAATCTTAGGATTCGCAGACTTCCGGGTTGGCGCGATCCGGGAATGGCGGATTCCCTCCGAGCTCCGGAGGGAATCGGCTCAGCGGTGGATGGGTCTTTGCCGTGCCGGCGACACGGGGACCCTTAAAAACCGCAGGTGCAGATGCCTGCGGACTGAAGACTCGGCGGGTGCCTTAAGCGCCCCCCTGATTCGCGAAGAGCCTTTTTAAAGGCTATGGAGGGGATACGGGGGACGGCGCGGCACTGAGAGTCGATCGCTACCGCCGCTGAGCGAAGCCGCGAGCCATAACCGGAGAGCGCTGACTTCCTTCCTTGAAATTTGGATTGAAAAAAGAACCTGTGAGTAATTTGGAACTGAGCTTTAAAAACCTTTACCTTTTGAATTTGAGACGACCGGGGGGTGTGCCAAAAGGAAGTCCCCATCCCCCCCCTTGCAGACGATCCAGAGCAACGATATAAGAGCTAAGCTGGAGTGCCCACCCTGTAAAGGGTGAGTTTTAAAAAAGACAGTAACTTCCAAGATTTGGAAAAGCAAATTTAAGCAGGAGAGTGGAGTGTTGGAAGAGTTTTTGTTTTGTGGTAAACAACCCTCCCTCCCGAGCCCGGGAGCGATCTGCTTTGGAGCCTGTATAGAGGAGCAGAATTTGACAGCTGTCAAAGCTGTCAAATGGACTGTTAATACTGAAAAAATTGCTACTTAAGACCTCTCCGGATAAAAAGGAGTTACAATTGAACAAAAATTTTGGGAAACAAAGAAACAATAATAGGACAGAGGATTGTTGGAGAAAAGACCATCCAGTAACCAGATTCCCTCTAGGGGGAATTCTGTGGAATTACAATGGCTGTGGGTGGAAAGTTACTGAGAGAAATCGAAAGGATGTTTTCACTGGTGGGAACCTTACAGGAGCAGACTACAGCTATGAGTAAACAATTGACGGCCTTGGATTTGGAAACAAGTAGCTCTGCTGAATGTAATGAGGACTTGAATGAGAAAGAACCCACAGCTGAATTTGAAATAATAAACAAAGAAGAGGAGAAGACAAAACAAGAAAGAGAACAAGTTATGTGGGAAAATACTAACCAGAAGCCGATATTTGGAGAATACAAACAAGGAGACCATTGGATGGAATTTATTCCAAGCCTACGAAAGATACAGAAGATGAAAGTGGAGGCCCTGGGAGTTTATGGAACTCAGGAACTCGAAATAAAGAAGTACAATTGGGGCCTCCACATAGACTTTGATTTTGACCATCACCAAGACTCAGGCCTTGTGGAAATTCCTCAGCAGTTGCTTATAAATATGGGAAGAGACTATGGACCGATTGGATTGAATGTTAATGAAATCTTTCGAGACTCGATGACTGACAAAGAGGACTACCAACAAAACCGGCGGAGAGGGACTGAAATAGATTTGAGAGCCTCGGATGTGCGGAATCCAGGCTAAAAACTGTTATTTTGGACATGTCTTGGGAAAGGACGCAAAGCGGGGATGGAGGGAGGGAAGCATAAACTTAAATAACACTCAAGACCAGGGGTTTAGTAATAAGGAATTACTCAAGAAAAAATGAGAAATCGAGGGAAGAGAATTGGGGTCCAACTTAGGGAAAACTTATTTTTTGTTTTTATAAAAGGACTAATATTAAGAAGGAAGAAATGCTAACTTGCTGACATAAACTTGGGAACAGGGATGCAAGGGAGGGGGTGGGGGGAAGTCAAGGACTAGGGTTAGAAAATAAGACTTTTTGGAACTATTCATGTTTGCTGTTGTTTTTTTTTTTATGTTTGTTTTGGTGTTATGTGTTTTGTTTTTGTCTATATAAAATGTGAAAACCCAATAAAAATTATTATAAAAAAAAAAAAATCTTAGGATTCGCATGCTACTTTATCAGTATTTTTAATTTGAAAGAAATTGACCAGGACAATGCATATTGCTCACCTTACTTGTGTTGCAGGATTCCTAGCAAACTCAAAGCCTCATCCTCACCCCAATGCATGATGCTGTGCAGTTAAGGTTTCAGTGTCTCTAACTTGGAATTAGCCAACATGGTGCCCAGATGTTGTTGGACGGCTTTGACTTTTAGCTATGCTGGCTGGGACTGGTCGGGGCTGGAGACCAGTAACATCTGGCTACTCTGATCTAGAGGTTCTTCCTACTATCCCTTACTCTTTGGGGGGACACCAAAAATCTGTTCTTTGAGTAGTTTGCAAGAGTTGAGTGATATTGAGATTCTCTGCAGCCGTCATTGTTCTTCCATGCTTCCAAGTCCTTCTGATCTATCATTCATCATGTATGTGTCTGCTGAGTTCCCACCATCCCTTAATGCTTACCCTCCTAAGGAGAATCCTTTACACAGGCCTACCCCATCTGTTCATAAGGCACTTGGCAGTTAAAAATGGAATTTTACTAGCTGAGTCAGTGTAGTCAGAGAAGCTGTTGAAGTACATTGCTGGTAAGTGAAGCTAGATCGATCTCTTCCCTTCCTCTAGGCAACAACTAATAAAGATGGAATTCTGATAGCTGGATTGGCATGCATATTTTTGCCAGTTGACTTCTTGCCAATTTGCCATCTTACAGGATAGTTGCCAATTCTAGTCTTTATGCATGCAAATGAAGTGGTTTCGTTATGAGTAGTTCAGATTGATCACCTAAAACTTTATAGATTCAGGTGTATATTTCAGAGGATATAGTTGGTTTATAGTTATATTGTTTGTTACAGTTATTTCAGAGTTTGTAGTTTGACTTTATCTACTATTTTTTATTCTAATTTATGTGTACACATTCTCAAAATCTAGGCTCCCGTCTATTGACGGCTTGCAGTTGTTTGCAACTTTGGTCCAATGTCAATTATGAAAACCCATCAGAAGATGAAAATCCTGAAAAAACAGAAGCACGGAATTGGAGAATCATTTGGCAGTGCAAGTAAGAAATATATTAAGACTAATTTACACTTGTTTTTGAACCTCCTTGGACCGGTGCATTACTCCAAAGCAGTATATTTAAATGATAAGTGTACTGCAATTCATTTTTATATATGCTTTTTATTAGCTTATTATTACAACACAAACACACACAACAGACTTTAAAAAAAATACAGATACAAAACAAATAATAAATGTATATCCATGTTTCAATTCTTATTCTTTTCTAATTGACTTCCTTTGTCCTCAACTCGGGTCTAATTTCATATTTGGTAAACTGTGAAAGATGCAAGAAACAGTATACTGCAATTCGGTGCATTCAGTGTGAGCCAATCGTATGTTGTTTCCCAGATTAAAAAGTGTTATATATGAGATACTTTCCGAAATATGTAGTAGATGTTTCATCTCTACAACATAGAACATATGGAAGTGCATATGAGTATTTAGCGCCCTTTTACTCTAAGAAGGGTGATCCAGCATAAATAAAGCAAACAATGCGAATGCTAAGAAGTGAAAGAGGGTTTCAACAGATTTTACTAAGCTTTATAATTGTGTTAATGTTGTAACTTTGTTTTTGGTAGGCGAACGGCCAAGTAAACCACATAAGTTGTATCATCAGTTTTGCAATTAATCATCTGCAACGAAAACAAAAATAATTGAATTTCAAATAAGTGATTTTGCTAACTCTAATATTTAACTCAAGTTCAGGTTTATTAAGCTTTTGAGGTATCAAATAATGATGAACATCTTTTACCCCTTTTCTTTTCTGCTGTTCACAGAACTGCTTCTGAAGTTCAGCTAATGAAGTTTTCACCAGATGGGGAATTTTTTGCTACTGCAGGAAAGGTAAACCAGTTTCATGGGATCTGAAATATATTTATTATTTTAACTTCACACCTAGCCTTTCTGCTTATAGCATTAAAGTAACAAAGAGTACAATAAAAATACAATAAAACATTTTTGTAAAAAAGCGGTAAAATGAAAAGAACCAATAAAACCAGGGATACAATGTTGATATTCTTCCACACACATTTTAAGTCATTTTCCATCTCATGTGACTATAGAAAGACGAGGGGAGGGCAGTTTGTAGGTGCTACCTATCTTGGCTTCCACTCAGACTATGGTGACAGAGGTTCTTATTTGAGAGTAAGGAAGAGATCTTTATACAGGGAGATTAAAGGTACAGGCTCAGCAACAAGCATAGTATCATAACAGCCTCAGAGCTTGGACTAGGCAACAGGAATGATAGGACTAGCTGGGCTAGAAGCAGTAGTCCTGAGTCAAAGTTCAGGACAAGAAGCTCATTTGTCCCAATGGGTTAACATGACCACCACCAAACTTTTAAAGGCAGGGCAAAGCAAGCTTAGCTGTGATACTCCTATGCCTTGTTGAATGTTCAGCATGCAGACACAGTCATAAGTGGTTAAGAAGCCAAAGATTGGAAAGTTGTAGTCCACATAGCTAATCGGCTATGTAAGTCTGTGGTTTTGCAAAAGCCCCTATCTTCCCAAACTTTACTCATCCATGGAGCAACTGTGATGCTGCAACAGTGTCATAAATTGCTTGAAAGAAGAGGAAATTACAGATTTCACAAACCATAATTTAGTTTCCTCCAAGAATATTAAGAATAAGTCATACAATATAATTTCCAATTTTATGTTGTAAGATGAAGAGTGCTATCCAAATTTATAAGTAAAATAAATTGCTCGTTATAATAGTAAAGGTAAAGGTACCCCTGCCAGTACGGGCCAGTCGTGTCCGACTCTAGGGTTGTGCGCCTTCTCACTTAAGAGGTCGGGGGCCAGCGCTGTCCGGAGACACTTCCGGGTCACGTGGCCAGTGTGACGAAGCTGCTCTGGCGAGCCGGCACCAGTGCAGCACACAGAAACGCCGTTTACCTTCCCACTATAAAGCGGTACCTATTTATCTACTTGCACTTACGGGTGCTTTCGAACTGCTAGGTGGACAGGAGCTGGGACTGAACAACGGGAGCTCACCCCGCCACGGGGATTCGAACCGCCGACTATACGATCAGCAGGTCCTAGGCGCTGAGGTTTTACCCACAGTGCCACCCGCGTCCCACTCGTTATAATAAGTCACCCTTATAAACTAAATTTTGGACAGAAGATCAGCTAACTTAAAATCCAGTGTGATTTTTTTTCTCTTAATGTATTTGATTTCACAGTTCTTGTGCTCTTCGGATGAATAATCATCAGCACAGAAGCATAATATTGCAATAACATGGTGATCTGTTTGAAACAACTAACACTTCCCCTAAGGCCTAAGATGCAATCATGTGATGCTTGTTTTTCAGACAGAATGACCTCTTTCTGTGGAATTGACATATTTGGCTATAGTGCCAAAATTAAGGGAAATGGATAGCTGCTATTTATTATTGGATGCCCATTTAAGAAAATACTTTAACACTGGCAGTAGTTGCTCTAATACAGGGGTACCCAAACTTTTTTCAAAGAGGGCCAGATTTGATGAAGTAAACATGCGTTGAGCTTGTGTATTATCCTCGTTGTTGATTTTCTTGGTAAGCATTTGACTCTATCCATTAGGGAAGGCTTCAGAAAGGGAACAAAGTAGCATTCTAGTACGTATTTTAAATGTACAACACCCAAACCCAAATAAGGACTTGTTTCCTTTGAAAGAGGCCGGATCCAACTCTTAAATAGAGCTTTTCTTAGGACTGAAGTTGTTGAGCCTTTTTTAGGATTTTACCCCTGTACATATACACAATTAGGCCCCCAAAACGGACTTTGGACATGCCTGCTCTAATAGATATATTACCTTAGCTATTTTGTATGCCTTCATCCCTGAAAATAGAAATACGCCTGTTTCTGTTCATTTTCTTTTAAAAACACATTTATTTGAATTATTTGCAATACAAATATACAATAGTAAGTTGGTAAAAGGATAGTATAATACAAAAGAAATATGCATTAATCATATATAGTTAGTTGCCAGTTAGAACCAGTGTTCATAAATCTTAACTCATGTTGCTTAGTCTAGTCTAAAATATCATGTGTAAATCTATGTAATGCACTGTATTATTCTTTTAACCCCCCCCCCAAGAATGTATGCATAGAATCCAGCATTGCTTAAACAGACTTCTGCTCATGCAGACTTCATCTTCCTCTCCAGTCCCCTGTGCACCCCTAAAATCAGAGTCTCCCAACTCCTTTGGAGCAAATTTTGAGGACACAAAGAGAGCTGCAGTGGGGGAGGAGGAAAAAGTGAAAGTCTCATTGAGTGAGCTGAAGTGTGTACGGTCTGTGCATGGAACATAATAAATTAATAATAATAATAATAATAATAATAATAATAATAATAATAATAATAATAATAATAATAAATTTATTATTTATGCCCCGCCCATTTGGCTGGGTTTCCCCAGCCACTCTGGGTGGCTTCCAATAAAACACTAAAATACAATAACTTATTAAACCTATTAAACATAAAAACTTCCCTAAACAGGGCTGCCTTCAGATGACTTCAGATGTCTTCTAAAAGTTTGGTAGTTATTTTTCTCTTTGACATCTGGTGGGAGGGCGTTCCACGGGGCAGGTGCCACTACCGAGAAGGCCCTCTGCCTGGTTTCCTGTAACTTGGCTTCTCGCAGCGAGGGAACCGCCAGAAGGCCCTTGGCACTGGACCTCAGTGTCCAGGCAGAACGATGGAGGTGGAGACGCTCCTTCAGGTGTACTGGACCGAGGCCTATGAATTTATTGTTCCTTGAACTCTTACTATTCTAATAAAAGATAAACAGACATAAATGTCATAAAAGGTTTATTGACTATTGTCTCTATGCCAAAAATACAACGTTCAGATGGGTCTTTTATCCATTCTGTATTCTTAATGGAGGTTAAACCTTCAGCAATAATATACTGCCCTTTCTTTTCTTCTCTTATCTGAGCTCAGTGTAAAGGCATCCAGATATTTTTAATCTCTTTCTTAAATTATGTTTCTACTGGAGGAGAATTATTGAAGCTTTTTGCTTTTTTCAATAGCCTAATGATGTTTATGCATTTATTGAGTTAATTCAGTCTCCATACGTTAACAGACGGTAATCTTAAATTATCCATTATTCAGTTATACATTTTTCTCTTATTATTTTGTCCATGTTTCATTTCTCCCTTCCCTTCCCTTACTTTCTCAAGAATTTCAAACTGTTTCTGCTTGAGAGAGATGAAAGGATTAATAACAGCAGCCTAGCATTAAGTGGTTAGGTTTTATTTGCTTGTGGGAGAGAACCATTGATTATGTCTAACAAGTGTTGACCTTCCTTATTATTCTGCAGTGCAATCCATTCTTTTCCAAACAAAAACTTAAGAATAAAAGTAGTCCCTCATCTGTCTCTCTCTTAAACAAATGGTCAAAAATTACTGGTTTCTTCTTAATATTTTCAGATGCATACCTGCTAAAATATCAGCCTCTGTATTGTCTGTTTTAAGTGAATACCCTGTCCAAACATTTATCTGAATTGCATCTTTTACTCTGTAATTAGCAAATCTTATGAAAACTTCCATTGATATTTTTCTTTTTTCAGACCTTAAATTTATTTTAATAGCACCTTCTATGCCAATGCACATTCTTATTTAAATTCCAAATAAGCCTTTAACGGCCCTTTAAAAAAGCATGATAAATCTTGTCCTTCAGCAGCTTCTCTCTAGTGCTTCATTGATATCTTTATGCTTATGCTTTTCTATTGTTATCTCATGTAGTCATAACTTCTTGGCATCCTTGGACTATAGACTACATTTTTTTAAAACAGACTATTAATTCTGTAATTTTTACAACTACTTATCTCTTTCTTGAATAATTATCTAATCTTTCTTCATTCACATTCCATTTTCTCTTTATTATTTTCAGTAACCGTTTTTCTATTATACTGGATTTTTCAGTGATTCTTTCTTCCTGGGCTCTGATGATGGTTCAGATATCTTAACTGCATGGCATACTAAAATACCAAATTTTCCCCTTGTTTACATACATACTAGTTACACATATAGAAATGAGTTATGAGTTTCAGTTAAAATAAGCCAGCTATGAATCTGTCAGTAGCTGAGAAGTTCATGCAAGGTGAGGCAGATCAGCATTTAGTGCAAAGCATTTTATATTTTTGTTTCTGTGCTCACAACCAGAGGGTGGATGAGTGTAATGGGAATCAAACATCTACAGAAACCAGGATTGGACAAGGGCAGAGAACTCGGGAGAGAAATGGAGTCTCCTTTGGCTCTTCTTGCAAAAAGAGTATGGACTTTTTTTTGCTGCTGCTTACATTTTTCAAAAAGAAGTAGCCCTGGTGAGGGATGGAGTTCATTAAAAATAATTGGCAGAAATTCTGAACCACAGATTAAGAAGAATTTTTAAAAGTTGTTTTTATGGGGAAAAGGTGACTTCATCCTCCATTTAACATGATTAAATAATTCTGTTGAAAATAATTCTATTCAGTTGTATTGAAAAGCTTATTTAAGAGTGAGCAAAAGCGGAAAAATTAGCTCTGTGTAACAATTATGGAAAGTAGTGTTCTAATATATATCACTTTTTCTTTGCTAGGATGATTGTCTTGTAAAGGTGTGGTATAACACTGATAGTTGGAAATCAGCAGTCACACCTCCAGTTACAGCACCAGAAGCAATCCCACAGGAAGTAGGCTTCTCATTTATTTACTTGGTTCATCCTCGGTCTGTTAATGGGTTCTCCTGGCGAAAGACAAGTAACTACATGCCACGGTGAGCATTTTATCACTGTTCCATCTTTGAATTTGTAGAAATTGTGAATGCTTTCAAATTTTGCCTTGTGCTCTCAAAATTGTGCCAGTGTTTATTTAATCAGTCATGGTTGGGTCAACATTCAGATGAATCTAAGTAAGTCTTCCCAAAACAGATAAGATTATGGAGCTATATAATCAGTAGTAGACCGTGAGGTCGGGCTGTGCTGCACACCTGACCTCCCTCCAGCTGAGTTGCTGCTGCCGATCAGGACAGAAAATGGGAGGGTTAAGGTCAGTGCAGTGCAAACTGGAGGAGCCAATACGATGCTCTTGGGAGTGTGTTTGCACAGCACTGACCTTACCACCACCTCATTGCTCCCCTTCTACATCCCAGTATTTAGCAGCAATGGGAGCATAGAAATGTCAGGTGAGTGGCGCACCCTCCACCATGCCATCCACTCCTACTGCATGTAATAGGCTTCCGTATAATGCCACAAGCAGCGTGTAAAATATCTGCCACAGTGCAAAGCCTCGTGAACTATCCCGCACTCGTAACACACTGAAGGTCTGCTGTACGACACTTTGGCAACATTGACATCAGTTCCACACATGTGCTCTGACATTAAATGAAAAATACCTTAATCTACCTGGCTGGTGGGCATAAAAGTTCCTATAATACAGTTAGTAAGTGATTTCAGCAAATGTCTGGCCACATTTTCGTTCTCCATCACTGCCTCAGCACTGAGTAATTGCTTAGTTTTATAGATTTGTGAGTGGAACATAGTCATCGAATGAGAGTCACTTAATAACGATCACACTAATTGAAGGAAATACTTATACAGTGGTACCTCAGTTTTCAAACATCTCGGAAGTCAAACGTTTTATTTTCGAATGCCAAAAACCTGGAAGTAAATGCTTTGGTTTTCGAATAAGCCTTGGAATTCGAATGTGCTACGTGGCTTCTGCTTAGTGCAAGATCTGGAGACCTAGCTGTCGGCTATTGAGTATTGGTTTTCGAATGTTTCGGAACTCGAACGGTCTTCCGGAATGGATTACGTTTGAAAACCGAGGTACCACTGTACATATGACGTTAGCAGTTTGTGTCCTCACCAGTGTTGCACAAATAGCATCCGAATATCCTTGGCTATAGGGAAGCAAAGCAGGAACCTAATATATCCAAGCCCACTGTGGCTTGAGTTGCCCTAACTTGCATCATACTGTTGCTGTAGAAGGGTGGTAAGGAAATAGGAACATGTCTTACATTTTCTTTAAAAAGTTATTTCCAAGTATTCATGTGTAGTATTGACTTCAAAGCAGAAAAATATGACTTGCATAGTATAAAATTCAGAAACCCCTGCAGAATTTAAAAACAACTTTTTTTCCTGTCCTAGTGGTGCCGTATGTAATGTGCTGTTGACATGCTGCAAAGATAATATATGCCGTCTCTGGGCAGAGACTTTGTTGCCAAATGACAGTCTGTTATATGGAGGTGGATACAACCATTTGCCTGAACCTGTGAAGTCAACTAATAACTTTAAGAGGAATGCTTCTAGTAAAGAAAACATGAAAAATGCTTTAGAGGTAAGAAGATAATTACCTGACTTTGAGTAAGCCTCCCAGATCCTTATAGTTTTGTATTTAAAGTAACAACCAAAGTAACTTGCTGACTGTTGAGAAACAGCAATCTGAGCTATATTGCTACTGCTAGATTCCTTTTCTCCTTTTGTATAACATGTCATTTTCTCAACAGTTAAATCTAAAGCCCTTTCGACGAGGAAGAAGGAGGTCAATAGCACTTGCACATACTGGATACTTGCCGCATCAGCAAGACGCTCACGAAGTTCATCGAAACACTCCGCTGCAATCAAATGCACTTTGCCACTTCCACATTGCTGCCAGCATCAACCCAGCTACAGGTGATTATGAATGCCAATTTTTGCTTTATACGTGGGTACAGTTCATTTTAAAATTCTCCTGCAAAAGTAATATAGACATACTGTCTGACTGTGAATAATGATGATATAAAGCTTAGCATGGCTTCAGTTCGAGGCTTTGACTGCTGCTGAAGATGATTAACAGAAGATAATTTATGTTAACTGGAACAGGGCCCTGAGATCTTTGCATGAAGGGTGGTATATAAATTTTATAACAATAACAAAAACCTCGAATGCTCAAATGAAACTATGCCATATAATCTGTTTAGTTTCTTTGGAAGTGAATCACACATGCCATGGTTGGGTTATATTGGCACCTTGCAGCCAAAGACAAGAAAACCAGACTGGTCTTTGTCCATTGGACATGCCCTTCTTCCTTGTGTCAGATAACATTTAGTTTCTGCTGCTGAAATAAAAGAAAATCAGAAATCCCAATGGGCATGCCCAAAATCTTCAGGTGTACTTTAAAAAGCTCTTTGAATTTTGGACATGAATCCTTGAGATGTTAATAACCTACTTTCAAGTAGTCATGTTTGTATTCTCTTTTTTTGTGGGCAGAGGGGAGTGGGGTCTATGTATATCTCTGGGTGTGCTTTATTAAAGAAATGTAGGATTAACTGTCCTGTGATTTTTGCATGTGTGTGTTAATGTCCATCTTCTAAGGCAGTTAAGTTTTACTCACTACAAAGGAATAATTTAAAGTTATGGTACATCTTGAATAGAAAGTAAGTTTAGTCTTTTGCTTGTAGACATTCCTTTGCTCCCTTCCATCATGTCTCTGAGTCTTAATGAAAATGAAGAAAAGAGTGGGCCTTTTGTTGTACACTGGCTGAATAATAAAGAATTGCATTTTACCCTATCAATGGAAGTCTTTCTACAGCAACTAAAAAAGAGTTTTGAGCATATTTCTTCAGAGGTCAGCACTGAAGAGTCTAATCAGACAGAGATAAAATCTGATGAAGGTAAAGTGACTACTATTGGTTTGTTTGACTCTTTTGGAAACAATGTGAATGCCTATAATACACAAATTTAATATTTAGTTTGTATGTCTTAACAGGCACCTTTAAAATGTGCTCCAGAGGATTGGAATCTTCTCCAACAGATTTTGAGAGCACACAGAGGGTTGCAGGGGGAGGAGAGGAAGGAGGAGCCCTATTATATGTGTGAAAGCCCACTTGCAAAATTTTGGATTCTTTCCCTAAGTGCACGAGAAAGTTCGTTTTCTGTGTAACTCTTAATCTTGAAGCCATGACCTCTAGATTTTGAATATTTCATTTAAAGCGCTTTAAATCAGACATTAATTACCCACAGAACAAGGAATATCCCTCACGTGAACATTGCTTTGTTAGATAAACCAAATATGAAATATTTTTGAAAATAGTCATAGTAAATTATTGGCAGCCATAGGAAATTATTGATGGAGATATTGAACATGGATATTTGGCAAAGTGGTCTCATTCACATGTCACTTGAAAAAAGTTAAATTTAAAGATGGGTTTAAAGATGACTGTCAAGCATGCAGGTGCACAAGGAAAAAATAACAGCAAATTTACTCTCCCATCTCCCACTGCTGCCATGCTACCATTACATCTGAACCTGGACTTGTGGCTTGTCTTTGCCAGACAAAGTCTTGAGGTGTAAGTCGAAGAACAAGTCTTGGTTACAGCTTGTGGGTTGATTGGAGAGAGTCAGCTCTGAGTCTTGGTTTGAGCATAACTTTGATTTAACTCCCAGTATCACGGCAGGAGCAAAGGGTGGCATGAAGAGGCAGCTATTTCCTCCCTGTTCACTTAGATGCTGCCCTTCACCTTAAACCACAGTCAAGCTTAGCTGTGGTCTAAAGTAACATGTGTGCTAGGTCAATGTATGGGTATAGGAGATGTCTGTTTCAACCTGCTAGAACTTTTTGAGTTCTAGAAAATGCTGTAAAACGTCACATTGCCTGTAACTATAGGATGGTTTCAGTGTGCGGATCTCTTGACAGCGACACTTTTTTCTCTCACCAGAAACCGATGGCAATAGAGAAGATCAAAAAGGAAATCAAGAACTTGCTGGTGAAAAACCAGCTCCAAATTCAAGCTATATCCCCTTGTCATCTTCTATTGTTGATCATGAGATTGAAGTACAGCTGTCTGAATGGAATAAAAATGCAGACATGTTGTTTAGTATTCATCCTATGGATGGGTCACTGTTAGTATGGCATGTAGATTGGCTAGATGAGTACCAGCCAGGCATGTTTCGCCAAGTACAGGTACTGTGGCTCTTCTGAATAAAATTTTTAAATAGTTTTGAGGTGTTCCACTTGATTCCAATGCTTCTCTGTACCATTTCTGTTTTTAGGTGTCGTTTGTTTCGAGGATTCCTGTGGCCTTCCCTACTGGTGATGCAAATTCGCTCTGCAAAAGTGTAGTGATGTACGCTTGTACAAAGAATGTGGATCTTGCTCTTCAACAAGGCAAACAGAAACCATCTAGCCTTGGGCGTTCCTGCTCAATGTTAATCTCTTCGGGCCATAGTAAATCAACCAACAGCTTAAAATTAAGCATCTTCACCCCAAATGTTATGATGATTTCCAAACATGCAGATGGGTCTCTAAACCAATGGCTGGTCAGCTTTGCAGAGGAATCTGCCTTTTCAGTTGTACTCAGTATTTCCCACAAATCAAGATATTGTGGTCATCGCTTCCATCTTAATGACTTGGCTTGTCATTCAGTACTTCCATTGCTACTTACAACCTCTCATCATAACGCAATAAGGACACCGGCTGTTGACAGCGTAAAAGAGTCGTGTGACGTCTCACCATCGAGACTTCATGATGAAGGCACAGCAACCACATCACAGGATCTCACTGCTGTTTACAGTGAACTTATCCTTTGGAGAGTTGATCCAGTTGGGCCGTTATCTTTTTCTGGTGGAGTTTCTGAGCTTGCAAGAATTAATTCTCTTCATGTCTCTGCCTTTTCAAATGTGGCATGGCTGCCTACCCTTATACCCAGTTATTGCCTAGGTAAGTCCCTCCTATAAATAAATAAAATAAGGAACATAGCAACAACTCATAATGATATCTGAATAAAACTGTGTGTATCGGTACTTGTTGATCTTTTTTACCTAATCAGACTGTTCATAATTGCCTTTAGGTGCATACTGTAATTCACCAAGTGCTTGCTTTGTTGCAAGTGATGGACAATATTTGAGACTGTATCAAGCTATAATAGATGCCAAAAAACTTCTCTGTGAGCTATCGAATCCAGGAATTTCTGTAAGTAAAGGCCAATAGGCTTGTTAATTACATAATTAACAGAAATCTAACATAATCTAACAGAAAAATCACAGGGGGAGGATTAAACTCCTGCCACATTCACCAAGTCTAGCTTGCCCTGTAGTTTAAAAAAGTATGACTAATCTTTTTCAGGCTTGATTTATCTTGGCTCCTGCAATTATATGGGGATTTTAATGTTTTTGAGCTTTGCTTAGATCAGGCATGGGGAAATCTGTGTCCCCTTAAATGTTTCTGGAATCCAGTTCTAATCAACCCCACCTGGAATGACCAATGACCTGGGATGATGGGAGTTGTAATCACAAAATACGTAGCGAACCACAGGTTCCCCATCCCTGACCCAGATTTATCAGAACAAAACTTGTTTTGCCTTAAGGAATTCACAAAAATAAAAATTCTCACTCTTTTTTAAGTAAAGCAGAAATACCTTCTCATAAAGTCCCAAGTGATTACATTACATTAAGATTCAGACAATGGTTTATGAGATACAACTGGATGTAACCTCAAAAATTGTAACTACTGACCTTTATAACTCTACAGAAATACGTTGGTGAAGTTTTTAACATCATAAGTCAACAATCCACAGCTAGACCAGGATGCATTGTAGAGTTGAATTCCATTACAGAGCTGGTAAGGCGCTTGCATTTTGTGGGTGGAAACATCATGGTTTTATTTTATTCAAAAGAAATAACCTGTTTTCTAGAAATAATATGCCTCCTGAAAAAATGAGCAAAATACTCTGTTTTCTCCTGTGGTTCCTAGAGTAAGGTTACCAGACGTCCCCGTTTCCCAGGGACAGTCCCCGGATTTACAAATCAGTCCCCATACAAAATCCATTGAAGTTGAAAAGTGTCCCCGGATTCATTGAAAAAAATCTGATAACCTTATCCTATAGGGCATTCCAAGACCTTCAGGGCTAGCTCATCCCAACAAGGCCAGGCAGGGTCTAATCATTATGATCCCATCCTGGGGAAGGAGAAGGGCCCTATCTGGCACTGTAAGAACAGGGTCTTGGCTGAGGAATGGGACAAGCTTTGCAAAGATTGTCTTTTTATTTATGTTGCGAGAAGGACTAACCTTCCTTCCCACCACCAAACTGGCCGTAAGCACACTGCTTCTCAGCCTTGGCCCCCTCAGCTCAGTTCAGCAGGGAAGTGAAGAAGGGGAACCACAGTATCCTGCCAGGGTTGTGGTGAGTTTCCCAGTCATTGACAGCTGGTCTGGGGAAAACTGGAAGCTCTTTGTCCTCTCTAACTGGGTATGAGTCTACTAGCGTAGGTAGAACAGTACTACCCCACCCTTCTCTGCCCAGAGTTAGGGGATGCTACTAACCAGTTGCCACCTCCTATAAAATTGCCTCAGACTTTATTAAAAGAAAGGTGTAAAGTTACAGCAAATCAGCCTGCCACATCCCTCAGCCACTACAGAAAGTAGAATGGACACCACAGCAAGGAGATGCCTTGTCTGTGCCCAAGCAAACATTTCTACATCCTTTATACACAAAGCAGAACACATCGCTTTGGCCAGGACTTCCCATCACTTCATTTGACCAGATGAGAACATAGGTGGCAAATACCCAAATCTTACAGACAGTTTTTCCTAACCTTAAATTCAGTTCATCTAATCTCTGCGTCACTTGGCATTGTCGTGCCAAATAACATGCAAACCAATGAATTCCTCACACTGTGTGATACTTCCCTCTTTGGGGTGAATATGCATTGATCCAGAAAAATGAATTGGTGAATAAGTTAGGTTTTTGGAAGTTTTCTCTAATGAATGAAGGAATGAATGAACTTTATGACAGTCACAGACCAGCATAAGAAAAACATATAAATAAAATAGCAGTTAGCATTTAGACAGATAATTGTTAAAGCAAATAAGAACAAAGAAACAGCCATAGGATAAAACATGTGAATAGAAAACGAGATTAAACATGGATAATGGATGGATAAAAACTGATAACTAAAACAGATAAGAACTAAAAGACACACAGTTAAAACAACCATAAGAGGTAAAACTTAAGGGAATACAGACTTCATTTAATCAGTGGTTGGATGAGGTTGTATAGTTGCAAAGAAGATGAAACACATTGAGGAGGAGGAGGTGGCAGTGATGCTGAGGGAAGCCTATTACGAGTCATCCTCTCACACTATTGGCAGCACAGCGCTGAGTCAGTTTGAGACCCCTGGGTCATCTTGCTTTGTGACTCCAGACTGTGGAAGGAACTAAGTCTGTGCCAATTTTCTTTGATGGCTTCAACAGCTCATCATCTAGGAGGTTAGGGAGGCAGTAGAGGTGGAGCAGTATAGCCATTTCTGCTTTTATTCTACGGCTTATAGGGTTGGGCCACAAAGAAATAAAAGTAGGCATTATTACCACTCTCTGGGAAAGTCCCATCATAAGAGAATCAACAGACGCTGCAGATTCCACTGCTCTAGCTCTAGGTTCTCTAGGGACTCCTCTTCCCTGATTTTTCTATCAACCTCTCAGGGGCTAATCCACCCCTTGCCTCCTGAAAATGTGTTCAACAAAGTATTGCATATTTTCAACATATTCTGTTTGAGACTATTTAATGTGGGCAGAATGTTGTATTTTAATATGCTTTTTTTATTATTTAGCGTGGTGGGAAAATGCAGCTACTTCACGTTTTTCAAGAAGATTTCATTTTGAATAATCATGAAAATAGACTGTCTGAGAAAAACACCATGTTACCTGACTCTGGTAAAGCATATCTGTCTTTAGTAACTTCTCAATACAATGGCATTACGACTGTGTAACAATTTGTGAAAATATGAAATCTAAAGCAGTGACTGTATTCTAACTATAGTAAGAAAATGGGATTCCTGTCCCGTAAGCAACAGGCTTATCCTAGCATACTGTTAATATTTTAGAGCAGTGGTTCCCAAACTTGCCCCCCATGGACTTCTTGATGATTGCTGAAGGTCTTGGTGGACCACTTAAAAAATTTTCTACCTGCTTTAGCTGTTGTAACGTGGTGTGCTATTGCGGTATGGTTTTAATTGTCTTTTTATTTTAAAATTTAAACATCTTATAGATTCTATGGAATGATAAGTGTTCTGAAATGATTATACTTTTTTGACAGTTTTTTTTTTTTGACAGTTTACCTTGTATACTATTAGTTATAATTGTGTCTCCTAAAATTCATTTTTAGTCTTTAAAAACAAAATAGTTTCACAAATGTTCATGTCCACAAGGCATATCTGCCAAAGATTTCCCATGCAGGCCAATGCAGAAGGCCAAATGTTGCTAAGAGCCAAACTAAATGTCTTAATTGCCTCTAAAGCAGGGTTTCTCAAACTCGTCAATGAGCTTCATTCAGGTGGTCTGTGTCTGGATTTGTGGTTGAAGAAGGGAGACACCACATCCATCCCATTTTTCATACTGATTGTTAATTGTATTTTATTGCTTCGTTCATTTCTTTTATTGTATTACAATTGAATTTTATTCTCCTCTCACTCCGCTGTGTATATAAACCAGTTATTGTACAGGCTTCAGTCTAGAAAAGAGTAATCTGAAATTCTGAATATGTAGTCCTTTTGTTCAGAAGCTGCTATTCTACAGTGCCAAATTGCCATGGCATGCATAATCATTTGTATATGTTTAAAGGGACTTGTTGGATTGAGTTTGAACAGCATTCCAATCCCATGTTTAGAGTCAGCCCTTAGTTCCAAGAACTCATGCATCATTAGAAAATTACATTTTTTATTTTTTATTTTAGTGTGGCAAAAGTAAAGGAATTTTCAACAGAGCCACATTGAAGGAAAAGATTTAAATCCCTAGCTACTATCACAGTGAAAATCATCCCTCCCGCATATGGGGAAAGTCCCTTTTTCACTTCTGGGAGCTTTTTTCCCTCAAAGCCAATTTGGGGTGGTCGTGTGATTATAAATGGCATTTCCGTGCGCTCTGGTTTCCGTCTGGTGTCCCATTGCTCCAGAAGTGGTTTAGTCATGCTGGCTGCATGACCTGGAAAGCTGTCTGTGGATAAATCCCAGCTCCTTCAGCCTGAAAGCAAAATGAGCACTGCAACCCCATAGTCCCCTTTGACTGGACTTAACCATCCAGGGGTCCTTTACCTTTACCCAGGCTTCCTCAAGCTTGGCCCTCCAGATGTTTTAAGACTACAATTTCCATCATCCCTGACCACTGGTCCTGTTAGCTAGGGATCATGGGAGTTGTAGGCCAAGAACATCTGAAGGGCCGAGTTTGAAGAAGCCTGCCTTTACCTAATCAGAATAGTGTTTCGGGAAGTAAAAGTTGAATCTTCCCTTCTTGTGTGCTGAGGACCTGATGAAAATCACTCATGCTCTTATTATTAATAATAATAATGTTTTTCCTAATGACACCTTTACTGTCACATCTTGTTTGGCTCTTAGCAACACGGAAATCAGTATGACTTACTCTGAACTAATTGTGCATAGAATTGTGACCTAAGGCTCAATTTTTATTCTCTCTCATGAAATAATAAATCCCTTTGAAATGTATGGAACCAGGTGTGCCAGAGTGTCTGGCTTGTTAAATATTGTGTGTGTGTGTTTGTGCATTTGTATGAATGGCCACTGCTAATAAAATAAAATAGTAGGATTAACACCATATTGTTCTCCCATTACTCTGCACCCCCGTTCTTTCTGACTTTATTGTTCTCAGCCCCCTCCAAATGTTTATATGTACTTACAACCCAGGATAACATTTCATGCATCTGATAAGTGAACTGGATTCTGTGAAAGCTTGTGCCATACTAAATCTGTGTCAAAAACAGGATTCCTTAACAAGTAAAAAAACCTGTAGTTTCTGATACAAAGGATGGTCCTTCAAGTATATAAATTGAATGCATACATACCATAAAACAGAGGGATGAACGTTGTCCAGTCAGTAGTTAACAACTGCTCAAATTATCATCTACTAATAACTAAATCTGTCTACATTTTTGCAGGATATCAGAAAAGTGGGTTTTCTGAAAAGTTCTATTTAATAGTAATTGAACAGACTCAGAACTGTTCAATGTTACATATGTGGAAATTACATTTGAAGTCCATACCGGTCTCAGTAGGTAGGTTATTTATATTTGTAATGTAAATTTTAAAGTTATAAAGCACATTTATTGATAAAATGCTTGCTTATTTTGATTATTATTGCAATGCTGTAGTTCAGTAATATTTTTGGTTCTGTGTGTGTGTGTGTGTGTGTGTGCGCGCGCACACACACACATGGGATTTAGTTTTTCTTTTCTCTTTATCCTTGCCTCAAAATAAACTATCCTTTATTATAAAGTTTCTACATTGCTACTTCCCTGCTGCTTCACCACTAAAAAAATACTAGGTCATAGTATGACTTGATGCTAGTTTGGAGGAAACAAACAGTGGGCCTGGGTTCAAACAACAAAGTAGATTTTGGTTTGTCAGTGATGCAGCAGCAGCGTGGCGAGAGGAAGGGAAACACACACAGAGAATTCCTGGAAAATGCCAACCAGGCCAATATTAGTAAAGTAAAACAAGTCATTTTCAGTCTTTTTGTGTCTGCCTAAAAAGCAATGGGTAGAAATCCAGCCATGGGTAGTATTCAGTTAAAGTTAAGCATATTGCATGTGTTTGATTTTAAGGAGGCAATTAAGCACACCTCCTGTTGAAAGTAACGGTACTGAAAAGGGCTGAATCATATCCAGTGTTTGAGTGCAGCCTAATATTTTTAAAAGAGCCGTAAAAGGTGCTTCGTAGCGCTAATTTGTTCAATACAAATATGGCAGTTTGCATTGGTGCAAATAATCCAAAATGATTGTGTTGTGTAGAATGGTGCATTGTAGACAGCATAACATTTCCGGTACAAGAATGAATACATTACAGTTCTGAAATCATTTATCTTCAGACTATCATGTGAGGTATGTTAGTCTTGAAACAATTTGCTGTGGGCTACCCATTTTCCCGTATCTGAAAGAAGAACTCTGTCAACAGCTCCATCTGATAATTTGGCTTTTATTGCTATGCGTGGCTTTGAAAAGTCAAGTTCACTATCTCTAGGGCCTGCCTATGTAGAGCTTATGGGGATAGAATGTGACTGTTGCCCCTTGCTAATGTATTTCAGTATTAAAATATAGTATACAGACTACTAAACCGTTACATAAATGGTTGTAACAGCTTGCGGATACTAGAAGTCTTAGAGTGCCAAGGGTAGTTCATGATAGCTGTTACATGACCCCGAGCTCACAAACATGTTAAACCCATTGAAAGAAAATAGGTCAACATCAATGCCAGCATTAGGCTAGAATTTGAATACATGGGGTATAGATATTTTTTTTTTAAAAAAAAACCCCTGCTTTTATAATACATCTAGCTAAAATGTCCACTTTCTTTAGATGAAAAAATAGACTCCAAGGCATGTGAAGCAGCGTCTCAAGAAGAGCTTTACACTTCTCCAGATCAAGAGAAGCTCCAGTCTTCCTTCACTCAGAAATATCAAGCCTGCAAAGAGAACCTTCAAAGTACCAGCCAACTTACTCTTTCTTCAGAAATTGTCTATAGTCAAGAATTGAATTTACCAGAAGGAGTAGAGATCATAAGCATCAAACCATCAGCAGGTTTGTAATTTAAAGGGGGGGGTCGTGGGGGGGGTTAACTTTGGATTTACAGTGGTATCTTGGTTCTCAAACTTAATCTGTTCCGGGAGTCTACTGAACTCCCAAAACTGTTCAAAAACCAAGTCACGGCTTCTGATTGGCTGCAGGAGCTTTCTGCACTCAATTAGAAGCTGTGGAAGCCACATCGGACAGTTGGCTTCCAAAAACATTCGCAAACCAGAACACTCACTTCTGGGTTTGGGAGCCAGTTTGGGAGCCAAGCCGTTTGAGTGCCAAGGTACCACTCTATTTGTACTTCCTGATTTTGGGGGGCGGGGGCTGTCAGTTTGGAATTCCGTATTTTTCTTGTTATATTTTATTAAACTTGTTGATCATTTAATGCTGGTCATCTCTAGGAGATTTACAGTATTTTTAAAAATACATTTATCTGGGTTTCTTTCTTCCTAATTTCAGGTCACCTGAGTTCTTCTTCCATTTATCCTGTATGTCGTGCACCTTATCTTCTGGCAACTTTGTGCTCAGATGGTAAGGTTAGGTTTTGGAGGTGCAGATTAGCAGTGGAATCAGGTGTGACGTCTGTAGCAGAGAGTATTACGAACAGTGGCATGTATGTATGGGAAGAATGGCCATTGCTAATAGAAGATGGACTTCTTAGCAGTAGTGCTCTTTTTGTGCCAGGCCAAGCTCTGGAAATCAGCTGTGCACATACAAATCGCTTAGCTGTGGCATATAAGCGAACACCAACCGTAAACAGTCGTTCATCTCAAGACTTTTTGGTGACGGTTGGAATTTTTGAATGCGAATCTACAGGAGGCTCTTGTTGGATCTTGGAACAAACACTTCACTTAGATGAGCTAAACCCAACATTCGACTCTTTGGGTGTTGACAGCAGTTCAGTGATAGATGGAAATGAGAATTTAATACCTAGGACAAATCATATGGTTCACCTAGACTGGATGTCTAGAGAAGACGGCTCGCATATCCTAACAGTAGGCATTGGGGCAAAGCTGTATATGTTTGGTCAGCTGTCTGGGAAGATGCAAGAACAAAGCGGTAAGGAGATGCTCGTACTGCCTGTGTGGGAAAATGCTAAAACATCATGCTCTTCTAGATTTATATTGCTAAGATGCGTGGATTTAGTTTCATCAGTAGAAGGTTCACCACCTTTACCTGTTTCTTTATCTTGGGTTCGTGATGGCATCCTCGTAGTTGGGATGGATTGTGAAATGCATGTTTATTCTCAGTGGCAGCCCCCTACGAAGCAAGAACCAGTTACTCTAGACTCTTACAGTGGGAGTACACCATCCATAATAAGCTTAATGAAGCAAAGTCAGTCATCTGGTGGTCACCCACCCAAGAGGACATTGACCAGATCCATGACAAGTCTCGCTCAGAAACTGAGTGGGAAGCGAACTGCATATGATCTGTCCCTGGAGATGGAAGATTCTGGCCTCTTTGAAGCAGCTCATACATTATGTCCTACTTTACCTCAGTACCATCCTCTGCAGCTTTTGGAACTCATGGATCTAGGGAAAGTGCGTAGAGCAAAAGCCATCCTCTCTCATCTTGTGAAATGCATTGCTGGAGAAGTTATTGCCATCGACGATCCTGAGCATGAAAAGCGGTACCGTTCTCTCTCAATCTGTGCCAGTGGGAGCAGTACGCGGGACCCCATGACATTTAGCAAATGTACTATTACAGACTACACAGAAATAGACTCTGTTCCACCACTACCTTTATATGCATTGCTTGCCGCAGATGAGGACTGCTCATATACATCATGTACAGAGAAGTCTAATAACCAAAGAACCCTTAAGAAGCAAGAGGTGGCAGATGAAAACTATGACGATCTCTTTCAGAATTCCAATCTACATACGGATGATCTCACTATGTTTGAAGTAGATGAAGAAGATAAAAAGCCAAAGGTTATTGATCTTTCTCAGTACAGTCCAACTTACTTTGGACCAGAGCATGCTCAAGTTCTTTCGCGGCACTTGCTTCACGCTAGCTTACCTGGTCTCACCAGGATGGAGCAGATGTCTTTGATGGCCTTGGTCGATACAATTGCCATTACCAGCACTGATATAGGAGAAAGCAGAGACAAAAGCAAGGGTGAGTTTTCTCATGATTTGTTTAAATGAGATATTTACCTTCTCAAAACTGTTTCAGAATTTCTATGTACAGTATGCTTGTTTAGATACTCATCTGATGTGCTATATACTTAAAGTCCATAGTTAAACCAAACTTTAGAAATCGAATGATATCCATTTGTCAGGGGAACAGACACCACTGGCAGAATGGAGTCCTCCTCTCCCTCTGCGCCCCAGAAAACTGCTTGTGGGGAGAAGTTTGAGGACCCGGAGCAGATTTTGGGGCATGTGAACAGAGGCTGCAGGGGGCAGAGAAGAAGGGGACATTCTGTTGTGAGAATTGTGATTGTGTGATGTTGGATGTGGCCCTTAGGCTAAAAACCTTTGAATACTTCCCTGGAATACAATGGAACTTGGTTCTGAGTTAAGATGTTTAGATTGCACTTTGAAATACAAAGGCCAATACTTTTATAATCCGTTAGCTAGTGTTGCTAATAGTCACAGAATGCATCTGTTTATTATGAAAGGGTTTGGAAGTCTATGAAATCTGAGGGACCAAAGTAGGTGAAACTTAATTCCACAATAGAAAGGATTTAATTGGATTGGTTTTGAAGGATACAGTGGTTTACCATCATATTGGGATATAGTTCAACTATGGCAGCCCATGTAGGCTTCAGCCCTTTAGGAACCTTTTATACTTATTTTATATTTGTCAGTTCTTACACATGGTTAGTTGATTGGTTTCAGAAGTTGCCTCCCACTGAAACACTTGCTTAGGCATATAACATGATAGCTGCCCTCTGAGAATCAAAATGCTCTGTTAATGAAATAGAGCAGTTACAGTTTTTGATTTAGTGGTAGGTACTTAGAGATGAGGGAGAGAGTCATTCTAAGCTACCCAATGTTGTATCTGGACTGTATTATTTTGCAAATGTCCAACATTCATTTCCTTTGTATCCAGACTATATTCCTTCTGGATGTAATATGTAACACAATTGTGCACTGAAAAATACCACAATATAATTACGCAGGACTTCAGCTATACTTATTGCCTGTGAGCAAATTAATGAACACTATAATTGTCTACAATATTAATTTAGAATAGTTTTTGATTGCTAGTAAATCAGTTTTTACTGCACACTGGTTTCCTGACATTATAAAATTGTCGAACCATGTGCTCCTAATGCGATTTAAATTATGTGAAACAAGATGATGGGTGGAATGAATATCTACATTTTCCATGAAGAATTAAATTATATACACTGAACATTTAATCATAGGAGGAGAAACACTTGATGAATGTGGTTTAAAGTTTCTTTTGGCTGTACGTCTTCACTCTTTTATGACAACTTCGCTGCCACCTGCTCACAGAGCCCAGCTCCTTCACCAAGGTAATGGTTTTCACTCTGCCTATAGTATCAATTTTACATTATGTAGGGCAACATTTTTAGAAACAATTGATTTTTGAGGAAATGTTAGCCTTCGGGAGCTCCGTCATTGTGCTGATGTAGGCTTTCATAGTTCTCCACTGAGCAACTGGATTTCCTTTGTATGATTGCACAACTAGGGCTGCCTGGACAATTGCTATTTTGGCTTGGTTTGGGGCTCTTCATGTAATGCAGGTATATGGAACCTCAGACCCAGGGACCAGATGTGGCTCTCAAGGCCTCTCGGTTAGCCTCTAGGATTCTCCCCAAGTCATCTACCCTCTTCACTTCACATCCCCTCACTGGCACTGACTGCTTCATGCTTTTGCCTGACTGGAATGTGTCATTTAACTCTTAATAATGCCTCTTGTTTTCCTGAATGGAGCAATGTGGTCTGACTTTCTAGGCTATATTCTGGCTACCCCAAAGTAAGACTGTGGCCTTCAGACTGAAAAAAAGTTTTCCCACCCCTGATGTAAGGCTTATGGGGGCTTCATAGAGATTGGCATAATTCTGTGTTCAATTTAACAGACAAATGCCCACGTAACATATTTAGACTGGTAAATCTAATGTGCCTATTTGCGAAAAGCCAAATTATGTGATGTGGATCCCTTGGATGTTATCCTAAGATCTCCAAAGTCTTCTGAAACGTTGATTACAAGAAACAAAAAAATAAGCATTTAGCATGATAGCATGTTATAAATTATACACCTGTAACAATATAATCTCTTTGAACAATTTAGGCTTATCTTCTAGTCATTTTGCCTGGGCGTTTCATTCAGTAGCAGGAGAAGAACTGCTAAACATGCTTCCTGCAATGCAAAAAGGTGATCCAACATGGTCAGAGCTCAGAGCTATGGGTGTAGGATGGTGGGTTCGAAATACCCATAGCTTACGGAGATGCATTGAGAAGGTAAATACTTTGATAGCATGTTGTTTTATGATTTTGGAATGTTCTTAAGCAAAAACACCAGTATTTTCAGCATGGGTAACTAAAACTAAAATGTGTACTTTCTTTATATTTTACCTTTTTGATAGGAAAAAAGATAAGTAGATAAGAAAAGAAATATAAAAAGCAAATGAACCAATTTAGACAAAGGGAAAGGAAGCTTAGTCCTGCAGTCATTGATAGTCTGAGAGGAGAACGTGGCATGTAGCCAATGGAAAGGATCTTTCACACTCAGCCTTTTCTGCTAAATCAGGGGTGAGGAACTGGATCCAGCCTGTGAGCTAGATCCATGATTTTCAACAGGTGGACAGGGCCACTCACCTTTCTATCACTGGGCATCATCTGATTCACCTTTAAAGGTGGTTCAATTGTAAGCACACTCATAAGCGTTTGCCGATTCATTCTTTTTTTTTTTAAGCCCCTGCTTAATTTAAAGCTGGGACTGCAGCGGAAGAAAATATATTTTCAACTGCATTTTAAGCCCAGACCAAAGATCTCTGCCTGCGTTTGACACTGAATTTAAATTTATGGAACTTCATTGTGCAATGGTTGTATTTGGAAGGCCACACGTGTATGTTCACATCCTGCAAGTGAAAGACCAGGAGAAGGCCCTGAGTGTAACTTCTCCCTCTTTTAAAAAGGGTTTCTTCTTCTAATGTGAAGGGAGATTCCGTAGTCAAGCAAACACTGGTTTTCCTAGTTCTATCATTCCATACAGGGAAGGGAGCGGGGAGCCAAGTATGAGAATCTAAGCCTGTTCCTGATCTCTCTTCCTAGATTTTGAGGATGCATGAGGGGAGGGGTGGAAGGCAAAGTCCCATTGCACAAACTGAAGTCCATTCTGTTCACACATGGACAGTGTTGGCTACAAACCATTAATTCTCATTTATCATATTTATTGTACTACGTGTTTTCAGGTTGCTTTTTTGTTGTTGCAAGACATCATTGTAGGAATTTATTTTAATTCATTTCAATAAGTTATTCAGCTCATACTATGTCCTTTAAAAAATCACCAGTGTCCTTCAAGTTTAATCTAAATATAAGATGAAGATTATTAAAACCATTGTTTTTAGAGTCTCCTGGCCTTGAGCCATTTACAATAAGCAGAAGTTTATTTTGCTGATGGTTATGGTGTACTCTACAAAGTGCACTCTGTAAGGTGCTCAAATTCAGGATGAAAGGGAGAAATGTGCTAAGAGAAAGGCATGTTTGGCAAAGCCTCACCACGATCAACTCCCACCCGGAAATCTATGTCCCCACTGTGGAAGGATGTGTGGATCCCGAATTAGCCTCCACAGTCACTTACAGACTCACTGTTAAGACCGTGTTCATGGCTATGAGTGATTGCCAAAGAAGAAGAAGAAGAAGAAGTCTTATAACAATGAGCAGCACTGACATAAATGTTTTTACCTTGACTCAAATATTATTGTTCCGTATTGCTTGCAGTCATCTAGATAGAAATGTATGAAATCTGTAATGCTTAGGTACACCATTATCTTTACAGGTCGCTAAAGCAGCCTTTCAAAGAAACAATGACCCTTTAGATGCGGCCATTTTTTACCTTGCAATGAAAAAGAAGGCTGTGATTTGGGGATTATACAGGTACAGATTTATAACTCGATTTAATTCAGTGCATGTGGATAATTAACTTGGTTACTTTTACTTTTTTTACTACCAGTTTTTGAAGCTTCTGTGATTTCCAGTAGCTGTTCATTATTGATGTCATAGCACACCTGTTCTGCCAAGTTTTTAACCAGTCATAACGGAGGTGTTAGATTCCTGTTAGCACCTTTGCCATTGATGCATGGTCTACTTCAGGAATCTGTTCTGTCTCCCATGTTGTTCAACATCTCTTTGTGTAACTACTGAGAGAAGTCATTTGAGGATTTTGCATGCAGATGGCGTGCAGCTCTGTTACTCTTTTTCATCTATTACCAAGAAAACTGTTGGGGTTCTAGCTGGTAGCTCTGAATTGTACATCTTGTTCATCGCTACTAAAGGACCAAAGCCTGGAGCAAGTTTAAAACAACAACAACAAAACACTTAGTGCTAGGACTATCATAAAAATAGAGGAGAGACAGACAAAATGTGAGAATATAAATGGCTCTTTTTTAAAAAACAGCAACTCAGAAAAATGGACTCTTCAAAAAAAATGGGGAACACAGGGATTACTTAAAATACAGTACTGATAAACTGAGTTAGATCACACCAGGGCCAGGAGGGAACTAGAAAGACTCATACTGAGGAGAAACATATAGACCACAGTCGCAACTCAGAAACAAAAACAGGAATGATAGACAAAGACTAATGGTACAAAGTAACAGACAAGCAAATGTTTAAAACTAATTGCACACACTGCAATATACTGGCTTGAGCCATGGAAGATCTGACAGAGAGTACACTCATCATCTGCTTCTCTCGAAGGCATGAATGATCTGATTATAGTTTCAGACTGAGTAAAATCCAGAAACTTAGGTATTTTGAAGCAAAACAGTGTTCCTTTCTTCATCCTTTAGGTGAGCTTGAGACCCATGAGAAAACATATTTGCATGCACATAGAAATAACTTGCAGATAAGACCAATGGTCCTGTCTTTTCCTAAGTATAGAAATTTTCAGAAGCAAGTTGAATTGCTGTTTGAACTTTGAGTAGGGTCTACCCTGTGATATTTGGATAATATGCTTACCAGTATTTCCCCCCCTGGATGCTTCTGAACCAATCACTTATTAGAATACGTTCTGATTTAATCATGTGTATTAAATATTTGCATTTTCAGATCTCTAAACGACACTAAGATGACGCAGTTCTTTGGACACAATTTTACTGAAGACAGATGGCGTAAAGCTGCATTGAAGAATGCCTTTTCACTGCTAGGCAAACAACGCTTTGAACATTCTGCAGCGTTTTTCTTGTTGGCTGGTCACCTAAAAGATGCCGTTGAGGTAAGTAGGAAGAAACTACCTCTTGAGACTAGTGATAAATATTTAGAACAGGGGCTATAACTATTACCATAATTACGTAATGTGCTGTTACAGGAAAAATATTAGGCTTGAATTCTTAAAAGAAAAATGTCATTGGCTTGGCTTACTATGGTTAAAGATTTCAAATGCCTCTGTACTTGGAATCAAAGAAGGGACTGTGAAATCATCTCCAATGCACTTATGATTTTTCTCTTTAACCCAGTGTTCTACTCAGTTCAGAATGTGCATACTGATATTCATGTTTTCAAGTTAGTGACATTGTACTGCTTAAAAAATAACCTATTTCAAGGACTTAGCTACTACTGGCGTTAAGGTTAAGGTAATGGGTCTAGGATTGTCTTTTTCTTTGACTCTTTTGTGTATATAACTTTGACACTTTGTATTGACTGGTAATAAATGTACATTTGTAATAAATATTGATTATATTTAGATTTAGTGGGCATTCCTCACTCTTCCACCAGTAAGAAAATTAAAAGCACCCCCTTCAATTTTCAACAAACTGCAATTGGTCATTTCATAGTTGTCTGAACAAGCCAATTTAAGGCTCTGGTTTCTGATTCTGGCTTTTGGAGATAAGCCATAATTCAACTAATTGCAGTTCCAAATTCAGACAAAACAATAAACTGCAGTTAATTGAAAATGGACGCTGTAGGTAAGAACAGTATTTATTGGGGGGGAAAGCTTCATAAGCCAGCTTTGCTTTTAATTAACTTGTTGGGTATTAGGCTGAATACTTTTCTGACATTTCTGCAAAATATCAGCAGGTAGATTGTTTAGAAAGCTGTCCAAATAATGAGCTGTAATCCAACATTTGTTTTCCATTTACATATTAAGTTTCTTAAAACAAAACCCAGTGGAGATACAAATTGACAGAAACAATTTTTAAAAGTAATCCTATGTTTGTTTCAAAAAGGTCTGCCTAGAGAAACTAAATGATATTCAATTGGCTCTTATAATAGCAAGACTTTATGAGCCAGAGTTTGAAGTATCTGGGACTTACAAATCAGTTCTACAGAAGAGAATTCTGGGAAGCAGACATCATACTAAAGAGAGTCCATCAAGCACACATGCTGATCCTTTTCTTCGGAGTATGGCTTATTGGATTTTGGAGGATTATAGCCATGCTCTTGATACTCTTATAAGCCAACCCATTTTGGATGAGGAAGGTAAGCTGGGACACTTTATATGTGCTGTTCATTAGGAAACATATAAAGAATCTATCATCTGAAGAAAATACCTTTTGAGTTTATATCAGTAAAAGACAGCAAAGAATTGCTATTCTGGTTCAGACTGGTAGTCCAGATGGACATTGTTCACAACAGTGAACGGACATTTAGCTACATAAGAAATGAATCTCTCAACAAAGGGGAAAATGGGCAGGGTCAGAAAGAAAATCTGTCACAGTCTCATTCTAGTTACAAAATGGGAGCTTTGAGTGATCATTACAGTGCTGGTTCTCAGGTATGTTACTATGTATATGAAAACCTTCACTTTGATATGATCATATCATTTGAAGAATATCTGTAGACATCTGCTATTTACTTTTTCTGTTCGACATGAACCTCTTCTGTAGAAACAAAAAATTTTCAGAAATACATGTCTGTTCACACTGGAGGATATGAGAAGAGAGCAAGAGTACATGAGTACAAAGTTCATGAATCCAACGTTCTTACACATAATGATAAACCAATTGTTTATTGTTTGAAATTGAGACAGTACTGAGCTAAATGAATTCATGATGTGATTCTTTTTATAAGGCAGATACAAATATAATTTTCTTACATGTTTTGAATATAAACCTCATGGGGAGTCTGTCCTACTGCACATTATAAACATAGTCGTGGGATAATATTACATACAATTGTAGTTCCAGGGGATTTATTGTATTAGAACTGGAAATGGTTGGGTTCTTTTATGAAATAAATAAATCATTAACACTAATCTCTGATGCAATGTCTTTACAGATGAAGGCAATGTGTCAAGATGTAACCCTTCAGTGTTCAATTTTTATAATTACCTGAGGACACATCCTCTCTTGTTGAGACGCCATTTTGGGTCTTCTGATTTATCTTCCACAAGGATTTGTGTAACAGGAGAAAATGGACTGGCAGATGAAATCAATTTAAGGGAAAGAAGATTGTTTTTTACAACTGCATATGCTCACTTAAAAGCTGGCTGTCCCATGCTGGCTTTGGAAGTGTTATCAAAGATGCCCAAAGTGGTAAAAAAGTCAAAGCCTTTAGGAAGAACATCTAGCTTAATGGACACTAGTAAAGGCTGCTCACCCTCTTCTCCAGGACCACTGGAATCAAAGGATAACAAACCTTTCAGCATTGACTGGTCACAACCTATCGTCAATGGTCTGGAATCATCTTCAGATGGGTCTTCAGGTAAACATTCAAATTCTGCTCTTTTGTTTGACTGGAGTCAACCAAGCACAGTTTTCCAGGATGAGCCTTTTGAGCTAAAGTGGGACAGTGACAAAGATGATGAAAGTGAAGACTGTATTGTAATGAAACCTTTGCAGAAGGAAGTGAGTGAGAAACCAAATGAAGTTAGTTCTAGCTATACAGAAACCTACAGTTCAGGTGCCGAAAATGAGGTTTTCACTTCATCAGAAGACATCATCTCTGCACAGCTGAAATTTAGGGCATGCTTGAAGATCCTTACAGTGGAGCTTCGTACATTATCTACCGGCTATGAAGTAGATGGTGGAAAATTAAGATACCAGCTGTATCACTGGCTTGAAAGAGAAGTGGTAGCTCTTCAGAAAACCTGTGACTATAGTGTTGAAACAGAAGATGTTCAGCCAGGAATTAGCCCAGTAATGGATGAACCTTCATCAAATGAAATGACCGAAGAACTATCAGACACACAGCAAAATACACAGCAGAGAGAATACCTTCAAAGAAGACAGTGGCTTGTAAAATATCAATCACTTTTGCGGATGTTTCTAAGTTACTGTATCCTTCATGGATCTCATGGTGGAGGCTTGGCATCTGTACGTATGGAACTGATTTTACTGCTTCAAGAATCTCAGCAGGTATGGAGTTTTCTTCTTGTAGTATCGATGTAGTATTAAAATATGAATAGTTAAGAGGAAAAGTATATTATTGGCAAAATATGATTATGGTGCCCATTAATGTATTTCTGGTTCAGTATATAAAGATATCTCTATAATTTCTTCAAATAACACATGTCTAAATAGTTTTGCATCCACACATAAGTATTTAACTATCATATCTAGTATCCTCACAGCTCTTTAAGGACAGGGGAGGCAGAACCTTCTTAGGATTGGCTTTGCAAGCCAAATTTGATCCACCTGCCAGATGTATTACTTTGCATGTCTCCCCCTTCCCATTTTAAATTCCCAATCTCAGAAGATTAGTAGGGGGGTATGGGGAGACTTGCACAGGCTTTAAGAAAGCCCCCATGCTCCCATTTCAGCCTGAAATAGTAGCATGGGTACTCTATTAAAGTCCTTTCCAAAAGCGCTTTTTGAAGCACTCAACCGCTTCTCCTTTAAGTGAAGGGGGCAGCTGCATAAAACTGCCCTTTTGGGAAGCACTTTAAGGCAGTCCCCACACTCCTGTTGCAGCTGACACGGGAACATGAGGGGTGCCTTACATTACTTTACAAAAGGGCTGTTTGAAGCAGCTCACACACTTGTCCAAGTGGGTGGTAACTGGGGAGAGGGGAGCGGAAACTTCTTTTCTCCCCACTGCTGCCACTGGTGCCCACCTAATTCCAGAAGTACATGAACTGCTTTAAGAAGCATTTTTGAGAAGCACTCTAATCCCTGCTTATCAGCTAATAAGTGGAGATTAAAATCTTGCCTTGGCTGTACAATCCTGTTCCCTGCTGAACAGAAGTAGAAAGTATCCGTTTATCTGGTGGTGTTAGCTGCTGGGTAGGTAAGCATGATTTGAGGGAAATGGCCAGCAAGCAAAATTGGACCCTCTGACAGGCAAAGATTGGCCTGCGGGCTGGAGATGCCTCACCCTTTTTAGGATAAAGACAGGAGCAGTTTGTCATGTTGAAGCTTACTGAATTATAAGTGAGCTTGTGTGTCATGTGACATTTCCCATTGTTGCAACATACGGCTGACCTCCATGCCACAATAATCAACTCATTTTCTCATTTCAGACATGCTTTTTCTGTTTATTGCACTGTCACTTTGTTTACAAAGTAGACAAATACAAGCAACAGTTTATTCTAACTTTACTGGGACTAGTGCCTTCAGGTTGCTGAACTAGTTTGGCAATCTTTCTGCTGCATCTTCACCTTCCCACTGTTGTGTATGTTGTGTATGCATTGAGTAGCTCCAAGAGCACAAATTTGTCCTCTACTCTACTTCCATCTGCAATACTAGATGGTCAGCCATTAATTTTTTTTTGGGGGGGGGCAACATTTTTCAATATGGCTCTTCACAGCAGCAAAGCAGGAATAATTTCAGTTTTGTGCAAAAGTAGACCCCTCTGGTTAATAAAGTATGCTGTCGGAAGTACCATTATATCACACATGAGTTATATCCATGCATATGGACTGAACTATAAAAATCACAGATTCTATGGCGGGGATCTGTTCTCATTCTCCCCTTTCAAATTCCTCCTTTGAGGAAAATAAGGCTTGGAATGTCAGTTTCACCTCCCATCTCTCATTCCTCAAAAAACTAGTCTGAAGTCGACAGTTCAATCCTCTACATGTCTACTCACAAGTCAGACCCATTGATTTCAGTTGGACATACTCTCAGATAGATGAATTATAATCTTAAAGAGTGACATGGAGGACTACCTTAGCAAAAAGATAAAAAATACAACAAGGGAGAAGCTAAGGCAATCACAGCAAAATTGCATAATTGAAGGACATTAAATGGTAAAGGGAGATAAACCACCAAAAAGAGGCAACTGTGAATCTACTCCCAAAATACTCTGCACAGGTAACCATTGGCAAAGGTGCACATGCTCTTATATGAGAGAGAAAATGATTCTGAAACTGCCACTCCTGCACCTCCCTCTGTATACATCACCACATGGCACAGAATTTCACAAGAGAAACATGCTTCATGCAACATTCATTGCTGTGTGTGGACACAAACTGGCAATTTAGCTTAACACAATTACTGGTGTTGCAATGCCTAAAACTTAATAGGGGCCAGCTTGAGGCAGAGTTTCCTGCAACCAGATCTAGAGAGAGCCCTTCAATCCCAGGTCTCAGTAGTCATTTGTTGGAGCTGGGGCTTAAATTGAAACTTCGGGATGCAGCAGGTGAAAGTTTTGCTGATTGGACATGGATCATAAATTAGCCTGGCCAATTCAGAAACCTTACGCTCCCTGCCCAATCACAAGGCCACTTTCGAAACATCGCTTATTCAAGAGGGCAAGTAATTTGCCAGGCTGGTCACCAGCTTATGTAATAACATACTGGATTCCTGTTTAGCTTTGAGTAATTTTTTGAGAGGGAAGAGGCAAACCATTAGGGTTATCACTTCAAGTGTGTATATGTATCATCAGCAGGAATTCCGTAAGAAGCAAGCAATCACTGTTAATAATCAATGCTAGTATTTACAGGAATTCAGCTATTAAAATATGCTTTCTATTATTCTTCGCCCCTCCCCAAGGAACTGTTACTTCATTCGCCTACTAATACCGTATCTGAGCAGAGTTCAATACCGCTTCTGTTTGCCTGTACTGCAAGTGCCAAAACCGTGGTGGCCAATCCTTTGCTGCATCTTAGTAACCTGACTCATGACATACTACATGCTATAGTAAACCTTCATGCGCCTCCCAGTCCAGATGTACAAAATAATAAGGCAAGTATTATTACAAGTAACTTTCTTTTTTGTCTTTGAACAAGTCATTTTTTAACAATTGAAAATATGGTGGGATTTGACTTAAGTTGCTGCGCAAGCGAAACAGGGTCCACTTGCACAACAGAACTTTCTTCTGTTTACGCATACTGCACTAAATGCTTCATTGCATTTCACCCGTTTATATCTACGCACATATATTCCCTGGCACAAAAGTCTGCCCTTGGAATTACTTTAATTAAGACCACGTTGGTGCGAGTGCGTTTTGTTCATTTTTAAATAGATGCTGGCACGTTATGTCATGTGACATACTGTGTTTGACTTGATAATTTGTTTCTGGAAACGAGAGGTTCCAACATTACATAAACAACAATTCTTGCCTGATGTGTAATGTGTCCTCTAAAACTTTCTTCCAGATCCATGTAATGCATACGTTAGCTGCATCTCTGTCAGCTTGCATATACCAGTCTCTCTGTGGTGGTCACAGCTACAGGTAACGATCTTTAAAATAAATGAATGTGAGCTTTGATGCTCAGCGAGAGAAACAATTCCCTATTTGCAGTCCTACTTAAGGTATAAAAATACACAAACCTTTCCCCCCAGCTTCTGCCTCTGTGTGTATTCTATGATAAAGGGTTATGATGTTCTGTGGTCTTTTGAAGTATTAGATGTAAATGGACAAACTTAATTACAGTGGTGCCCCGCAAGACGAATGCCTCGCAAGACGAAAAACACGCAAGACGAAAGAGTTTTCCGTTTTTTGAGTCGTTCCGCAAGACGAATTTACCTATGGGCTTGCTTCGCAAGACGAAACGTCTTGCGAGTTCTTGCGAGTTTGTTTCCTTTTTCTTAAAGCCGCTAAGCCGTTAATAGCCGCTAAGCCGTTAATAGCCGCTAAGCCGCTAATAGCCGTGCTTCGCAAGACGAAAAAAACCGCAAGACGAAGAGACTCGCGGAACGGATTAATTTCGTCTTGCGAGGCACCACTGTACCTCTCTTATTTAACAGAACTATAGCTACTTATGGTAAGATAATCATTTGGTCCTTTTGTAAGTTACAGACCCCAGATTCCACCCTTTTATATTCTTTGCTTGTGACTCTGTAACCAGGTGGGTAGTAGGGTTAGAGTGGGATAACAATCTTTCATTAAACCAGCACACAAAGTTTGTGCATAACTACAAACTACAGTGTAAAATAAGATTCACAAACCAACTTCAAACCATGGTGTATGATCCTGGTTTGCTTACCTCAAACCATGGTAGCGATCCTGGTTGAGTTTGGTTGAAAAGGAAATTAGACTTAAGCTAAACAAACTATAGTTTAGCATTATATGAACCGGGTTTGTAGGTTGAAAGACACTCTAAAACAGGCACACGCAAACTCGGCCCTCCAGATGTTTTGGGACTACAATTCCCATCATCCCTGACCACTGGTCCTGTTAGCTAGGGATCATGGGAGTTGTAGTCCCATGTTTGCCTTTGCCTGCTCTAAAAGAATAAAAGAAGTGCCATGATTAATAGAAATCGTGGCTTAATTTAATTTAATTTTAACTTTTCTTTTTTAATAGCTCATTACAAGCAAACCAATTCACTGGAACGGTTTACCAAACACTGCTGCTTTCTCACCGGCATTCCTTAAGGACAGCAAGCTTAGATGAAACAGTAACTCCCAATACTGCACCATCTCAGTGGCCAGGTAGTAATGATTTGATTTTATTCGTCTTATCTAGCTTTCTTGACAATAATTAGTGCTGTTCTTTTTTTGGTTTATTTAAACAATATATACTGTATAACTACAATTGTCTCTGAAAGGTCTTCCAAAAAACCAGAAAGGGTAAAAATCAGTTAAAACTACAAAATCGGACTTCAGTTGAAATGCCTACTGAAAGAAAAACATACTTCAGTTGGTGCCAGAATGTGAACAGGAGGAAGCCTCTTCCCCAAAATTGGGGACACAGGACTTAAACACACACAGTTCCTGGTGGATCCAAGACTGAGCCTGCCTTAGGGCAGGAAAATAAGGGATTAGGTGGTCTTTGAGGTAACGTGGGCCCAAGTTGTTTTAAGGGCCTTGTCAATTAATACAGGAATCTTGAACTTGACTCAGTAGCATATGAATAGCCAGAATAGCCATTTGCTGGAGCTATGTGCTGGTGATTATCTGTCCCCATCAACAATCTAGCTGTAGTGTTTTGCATTAACTGGAGCCTCCACAGCAGGCCCAAGGGTGCATTGCATTAATCAAGCCTTGAGGTGGTACTATGGCATAAATTACCATGGCCAGACTAGCCCTATCCAAAAACTGCCGTAGTTGATGTACCAGCGGCAGCTGGCAAAAGTCACTGCTAGCCACTGAGGGTAACTGAGCTTCCAATAACACCCCAAAACTCTCTTAAGTGCATTCTGGGGAACAAGCCTATTCTGAGGATGCATTGATGTAGTCTCAGTTGAAAAAACAACATTTTTACACCATTATACTCAGTTGGTTTGGGTGGGTTGCAGCAATTACTGCATAAATAACGATTAAACACCCTAAATAGCTCACAGTAAGTTTACTATTGTCTCTGGGGAGAATTGTTTTGTGTGCGTTTAAAAACTAGGCAATGCATTTTCTCTTTCTAGGTATAATGGCTTTAATACAGTTATTAAATCATACCGGAGAAGAAGCGCAATCTGGGATCACAGTTTTGCTCTGTGAAATTTTGACAGCAGTCTATCTTAGCCTCTTCATCCATGGTCTCGCCACCCATTCCAGCAATGAGCTGTACAGAATTGTGGCCCATCCTCTTAATGACAAAATGTGGTTTGCTGTCTTTGGTGGAGGAGCAAAGATTCCAAAGAAAGGCCAGGTGCAACAAACATCAAAGATGGGTTAGTTCGCTCTTAGTTTTCTTTACATATAAAACCTTTGTGAACTCTGTTCCTTCCTCTTCCTGCTGCATAAACTGGCTAGGCTGTCTGGCACCGTCTTTCCTCATATCTGCTATAGTTAAATGAAGTAAATAACTGCATTAAGGCTGCAATCCTATGTAGTTCTTACATGGAAGTAGCTGAGCTTGGTTCTAAAGTAAATGTACATTGGTTTGTGCTGTAAATACTTCTAATGTAACTGAAATAGCCATTTCATACCTTACATGTGAAATTAATCAAACAGTTCTAGGTGTTCCAGTATTTGTTGTCTTAAAACAAATTTTCTGTGCAGCCTATTAAATGCCAGTTTACAAATATAGTCATGATATTTAAATGATTGGTGAAAAAATAATTTATTTTTGTTTGATGTGGCCATATTCCTTTACTCTAAGAGCAGCCTATGTTTTCTCTTTTTGGCAGGTAGGCACTTCCCTATGCCTAGCCCACACCAGGTAGTAGTATTCTCCATGGAATGTGTGGGGTTTACCAAATCTCTAACAGCCATCAGTACTCATAGTCCTACCAAACCTACAGGCAAGATACTAGCTTCAGTCTTAGGCTTTTAAATCCAGTGCTGATATGTGATCTTGCATATGTAGGAATAAAGATACAAAGAAAATTTCTGTTTGTAAGTCATGACCTCAGGTTTTTATTATGTTTTATTTATATCATGTTAACTATATGAATTGGAGTTGAATTTTTTTTTAAAAAAACCCACCACATTGGTCATTCATACATTTGGAACAATCCCTTCTAAATCAGTTTTAAATAACTTCATTATTGAAGGAAGAACATGGCTTGCAATTACCAGAAATATTTCCAATACATTTTTTTGCTCATGAAGACTGCTTGTTTTTGTGTCACATGACCATGCATAAGGCTGTGGATTTCTAACTGTTAATTTAGCATATAAAAGCCGCCTTTAGTTCGTAGCAAAAATGAATCCAGTCGCCATCAAAGATTGTTGTAGGGCAGCAAATAATATAAGTGTAAAACTTGGTGTCTACAGTTCCTCTGGTAATGTGACCTGCTTAACATTTCATTTTGGCTGATTTATAATTTGATTTGTGATTGGCATAGGCGACACAAAATGGCCTTGGCAGAGAAGAGTTTATTTAAACATCATCATTCACATATCCTGCTTATCTGACCACAGCAAAATGCTGCTTTGTATTCAAATGTCCACATATAATCCATTATAGATAATTTTTAATTACGTCAAACAAATGATCGTGAGGAATAGCTCATGGCTCAGTTGGTAGAGCATGAGACTTCATCTCAGGGTCATGGGGGGTGAGCCCCACACTGGGTGAAAGAGTCCTGTAGAGATGATCCTTTTGGTCCCTACTGTTATCTATAACCTACAGTAAACTTGTGTGGTATGCAGATTAGATGTGAGTGATGTCAACACTTAGATTCTGAAGGATTCTGATAATGGATTCCTTTGTGGCTTTAGGGTAAAATTTATAGCTCTTGTTATCTGTGAATGTACTTGGAAGTAAGCAAAACCGACTTCCATTCTTAAACCAAAGTGTTATTCAACCAAGGTGTGCTTTCCCATAGCAGTGGGAGACTCAATTTACAGATGGAACACACTCAACAGGAAGCGGAACATGTTCTGCTTCCAAGGCAAAGTTCACAAACCAAAACACGTACTTCCGGGTTTGCAGTGTTCTTAATCCAAGTTGTTCATAAACTGAGCTGTACTTAAACCAAGGTACCACTGTAATCTGATTTGGTATAAAGCAAGTTTGTGTTCACATGTCTTCCAAAATGTCACAGGTTTAATACTTGTAAAAAGTTACTCTTTTTGTATTTGTGAATTGGGATGGCCTCACACTGAGGAGCCTAATTGGAGGAGGCCAAGATGACAGAGACCCGGGGGTGGGGGAGTAAACCTCCAAGATCCAGCCCAATATGTGCACACACATTTATTGAAAGAATTTATGTACCACCTTCCATCCAATTCTGATTCCAGGATGGAGTACAACAAAATACACACACACACACACACACACACACACACACCTAATCAAAATTCTCCTTTCCTTTTGGTGTGTTAGCATTTTCATTTATGTAGAAAACAAATTCTTATTTTTTAACTCGTTGCACTAAATATTTTAATAACAGTACTTCTGAAAGAGAAATCTTCCACAGTGAATGATTGGCAGCCTTCCATAAATAGATTTGTATTCCTGGAATTTCTAAAGTGATGATGATTTAGTGGAGGATATAGATACTAATAAATGGGTGTTGCACTGTGAACTGGAAGCAGGGGTAGACAAAACAGATGTTTATTATTCCAACCCATTTTGGATTCTGCTGGTTGTCCTTCGGCTAAATTCAGATATTTAAGTATTTAACATATAGATGTGACACTTCTTCTTATTTTATTATAACAATCTGCTGAGTAGTCCTGAATGCTATAAGGATATTGTACAGTGCAAATTGTCAACCTTTAAAAAATAACTAGAAGCCCATATTCCTCTTCATTTAGGCTGCTCAGTTGTTTTGCCAATACAAAAGAATAGTAAAATAAAACAGAAAAGTGCCATGCCAAAGTACTTCCGTGGGAGCAACCTCCCTAAAGTTATTTCAAGCAGTTTGGGACTTTAGATAGCAAATGGAATGCAAACTGGCTGTGCTGATGGTTGCAGTTTTCCAGTGCAAGCTAAGGAATGCTCAAATCTTGCTGCTTGTGTAAAACATGATACAGTCGGGGGTGGTTAATAAGAAAAGGGCATTTTGGAATTTTTGCCTAATTCATATTATACATTTAAATAGACTATTAACATAAGACTTGTCAGTTTTTTTACAATAGAACAATCTAAATTATCCAGTGATGTTTAGATTCAATTTGTCGCTTATTTATATTGTCACTTATTTATGTTCCTTTGTTAGTCTTGTTATATACATGTTTTATTAACTTCTTTCACTGTTTCTCTGCCATGTATAAGAAAAAGTACTACAAGAATATTCCTAACCATTTAAGATATCAATCCTAAACCAGTTTTAGATAAATTTCCTTAGTTATTTTGTAGAGTAAGGAACTTTGTCAGTGAGACTTCATTTCCTGTAATAAGTTTGACATTTGTCTGTAGTTCCATAACAAATAGCCTACTAGTGCTGCAGGCATAAACAGTAAAATTTAAATCAAGAAAGCAGTTAAGCACAGTGGTTACTGTTTAGATGGGGGTGAGTGGAAGCAAGAATTCAAAAGATCCATTATTTCTCAAGTTCTGTATCATGTAACACTTTCTGTAAGCTTATTTTCCTATGCCTTCATTTCAAACATAAGAAAGCTTTGATATTTTTGTTGAGCTCAAAAACTAATGCACCATATTAAGCAATGCATGTGCATGTTTGATGTGCTAGCTAAAAACCAAAGTTTAAAATACTTTGTATTATAACACATATGTTTTTATCTTTAAGGTAAGTGAGTTGCATTTTTAAGGAGAATTTTATAAGCATGTTTTGAGACATTATATACTGGAAAAATAAATCTGAATTATTTCTGTGTTATCGTGCACTTCCATTTATAGATTATGTACTCTTAAAACCCGCATGCCAGTGAGAATTTTATTTACTATTAGCAAATAGCAGCACCACATGCTGCTCTTCTGTGGGGATATAAATTGACAGTCTGCATTGTAATATGATAGTTGGAAATTTGATTTCTCAGGTACGCAGAAATGAAAGTTACATTTTTTGCTAAGAATTTTCGCAGTATAATTGCACCTCTTTGGAGGTGTAGGGTTAAGGGAGAGGATAGATAAAGTATTAAGGGTTTGGAAGCCAGAGATTTTTAAAATTGCAAATACTGTAATACTGTACTAGACTTGTGCTTGGTGGTTGGTGTTGCAATTAAGACATTGATTTTTAACCTTTATTCTTAAATAGTTTGATGATAGACATCTGGTAAGTGGTTTCTAAACTTTACTAAAAAGATGCATATTTTTCTCTCTGCAGCCTCTTCTCCTCTAGATGATGGTGAGAAGCAACAGAAGTTTTTAAGAATGTCATCAAAATCCTCTCTAAAAGAGACTTCACAGACTACTTTACCCTCAATAGAACAAGATGCCCCAAATTACAAAGAGAAATTTATTCCTCCTGAACTTAGTATCTGGGACTACTTCATAGCAAAGGTATTTTATTTTAATTTTTATTCACTTTTGGAATATTTTCCATAAGCAAAAGTGATTCTCACTCTGTCACATACTGGCCTTGCTGGTGAGGTAGTTTTTCTTGGCAAAAAGCAGGATCCAGTTTCAAGAAGAAGCACAATCAACTCTTGATTCTTCAAGCAGATACCCTCATTGGCACCACTGAATACATCTTTTAAGCCCTTACCCACCCCACACCTGATGAAATGCATGATATCAAATGTAGGGCAGGTGGACATGGCTTCCCCAAAACAGTCTTGCGGGCCAAATGGGCAGGAGGCTCTCCAACTCTGGTTTAAAACTGTGTCTTAATATGACATGTTACTTAAATTATTCCAAAAACCCTGCTTGAAAAGCAATCTCTTAACCTTAAATTATTGGCTAAGCAGGTGGAAAAAACGAGCACATCAGCTGTGGACTGATCTTATTTGTAAAAAGCTAGGTAATTAGTAAAGTAGCTTAAGGACAATAGGAGGCAACTCTGAAAGGAAATGGTGCCAAGAAATAAAAGGAAAGGTGTGCAGAATATATGAATTACAGTATTTTTCTGTGTATAAGACTAGGTTTCCCCCCTAAAAATAATGTCAAAAATTAGGGGGCGTCATACACGGATACATCTCCCCCCATTTTCTTAATTCTGAGTCCCCAAAAATGGGGAGCATCTTATACATGGGGGTGTCTTATAGACGAAAAAATGAAAGTGTAAGTATAAGGTAAGTATAAATGAAAGAGGGAACCTGGCATTTCTCCTAAGTTCTTTATTGGTTTTACCCTATTCAAGCCAAGTCATACTAAAAGTAATCTGAAGTTGAAATGATAAGCAGATCTCCCTAAGTATTTGAAGCTAGTGTATTTTGTTTTGTGTTTACCTCGATTGAGACTTCCATTTTACCTTTTAGCCATTTCTTCCATCATCGCAAACTAGAATTGAATATGACTCAGAGGAGAGTCAGGAAAGCAGCGATGATGAAGGTGATGATGAATTCTCACCAGACTTAAAGAGTCAGGAACATTCAAATTCAAATTCATATAGGTATGAAATGATTTCATTCATTTGTTTTCCTTTACTGTTTCTACATTTGTTTTCATCTATGAAATGGGAGGCATCTAGGGAAGAGGTAACCTTTCCATCTAATGTTCTCTCCTACACACACCCAAAGTGCTTCTGTACACAAACTGGAACTTGCAGATTTTGTGCCAAGTGAGAGAGGAGGAGAAAGAAGGGAAAACTGAAGGTGGGGGATATTACATTGTGGGTGGGAGAGAGGGGGGACGTGGAGTGATATTGCAGCCCTTTGCGGGTTTGGGAGGTGAGGAAGGAAGAACACATTGTAGTCTTGGGGAGGAATATGGAAGCAGGTGGGGGAAATTCTGTGGTCCTGAGGAGGGAAACTCGGGGGAAGACAACTGAGGCAGGGAGAAGGGAGTTGGTGTATGGAGCAATCAGAGGAACACCCTTTAGTTAATAATAAAAAGGAAAGGGAAACCAGTATTATCTTTTCACAGCTCGTGTATACTTCTTTGTGTATTCTGTTTAGTTGGTCTCTGATGCGGTTGGCTATGGTTCAGCTTGTCCTCCAGAACTTGAAGACTTTCTACCCTATGGCTGGGCATGATCTTTCAGGTAAGTCTGTCTTAGTGGGTTTTTGGATTTGTTTATATAGAATTCCCTCATATTGCTTAATTAACCCATTTTACTGGTGCTTATTTTTATTATTTCATAAAATTTATACAACTGTTGATAATGAAAAAAATAATGTGTACATATGTGTACATCCTTGCTTGCAGTTACTTTTTTTAAAAAAAATTGGTTTTATTCATAACAAACAATATAAAATAAACATCAATACAATATCACAGTGTGGGATTTCTCCGGTCCCTTGACTTCCCTCTACCCTCTCCATGGTTCCATTATATTTATTATTCATGCATGCATGTCCATATCTTATTTTCCATCTATACACATCTGATTCTATCTGTTATCATAATATTGCAACTGTTCTTTAGTCCTTGCTTGCAGTTACAAGTCTCGTTGAGTTTTTGTTGGTGTAAAAGGCAAACTTGTTTTCCTGAAAGGCATTGTGGGATGGCGTTGTTTAAGGACTGAGAAAATTAGCCTTCTCTTTTTCCTTCTTGAAATACGAATGAATGCATTTTATTATTTCGGTTACAGACCAGTTCCAGCCCACATACAATATCAAGGAAGTCATAAAACACGATAGGCATACATTTGAATTTGCAATTAGGTATAACAGGGACAATACTCTTGAAATATGTGGATGAGAAGCTAATATAATGTCCAGATGCTGAACTAATGATCCCTCTTGAACTTTGTGAGTGAATATTCAAAAGGGACTGAGTGAGAGGAGTTTTAAGGGTAAAAGTTTTGCAAGAATATTATCATGAGCCGCAGGTGCTAAAGCCTCCGTTTACAGAGCTTCTTAAAGAGAGAGGCTTTTTTTTTACATCCTCCAGTACAACAGCCAGCTAAAATATTAAATGTGGCTAAACCTGAGCTCATGTTGAACGAGCATATATTTAAGTTACATCCCAAGCAGTAATATTTTTATACTGCCTTTATAAAAAGCACATACGGCCAGCTAACAGGCTAGAATCTATGCAACTGTGAAAAGGGTCTGTTTTGTGTTAAACCTTGAAAATAATTAACAGATGCAGTCATATTAAGGATAATTTTGAGGAACTAAGCTCCATTTAATACCAGGGTGTCGGTGTGGTGTACTAGTTGAGGGTACCAGACTAGAATTGGGAAAATACAAATGTACATTTATTCATGAAGTTTATTAGCTTACCTTGGGCCAGTCACTATCTATTTCACAGAGATAAAAAAAGGTGTGTATATCATCTTGAGCTCTTTTGAGGAAAGGAAGGATCAAATGTACCTAAAAATATTTATACATACATGAACAACGTATATAAAGGATTTTAGGGGGTTGGACTAAAGAACTGTTATTCCTCATTTCCTAACCAGTTTGCCATCTGCAGCTTTGTTTTGATAGCTACTCCTACAGTTCATTAGCACATATAAATGCCCATGCCCAAATTTAGCATGTAAATTTATGTGTCCGTTTGATTTTGTTTTTAATTTCTGGTTGCCTCACTTGTGTGCATCTTGACTGGAAAATGTGCAGGCTCCATCCATAGAGTAAAATCTGCTATTGATGTGACAGCAGTACCTTAGCAGAAAATAGAGTGTAAAGTTCCTTAATATATTGCAGTTAAGGGAAAACTTGTTCTTGTTTTAGAGCTACCAGTTAGTTCCCCACTGTGTCATGCAGTACTAAAGATACTTCAACGCTGGGAGCAAGTTCTTCTTAGGCGACTTGAGATGCATGGCGGCCCACCAGAAAACTTCATTTCTGTTCATACTTCTCAAGATGCATCCTCTTCAGGCCCTGCACTACTTCGCCACAAAGCCTTGCTAGAGCCAACAAACACCCCCTTCAAGTAAGTGTGCTCAGTGGCTCTGTCGTTTTTGTACTTTTCATGCTCTTTAAACCCATTGTCATTCACGTTTCCATATCGGCAATACATTCTAATTAGTGTTGTAAGCGAACCTCAGCATAGCGTGGATGTGTTACCTCAAAGCAAGTTTCAGATAGTACTTAAGGATAATTAATTATTTTTGTGTGTGGGTGTAGATTGTATTTTAATGTAAACTTAAAACTGTATATTTAAAAGTGGAAAGGCAAATCAAACATGAATCATGCAGATAAACATGGAGTTGGGGTGGACTGTAGCTGGTGACAACCCTGACTTTTGCTCTGACCCCCTCTGCTGCTTTAAGTTATATATTGTTGTGGCTTTCCGTCAGTCCTCCACAACCGAACACTACAAATACAAACAAGTAAGTAAATCAAATGAAATACCTTTTGCTGTTTTCTGAAGGAAGTCTCACCTTAATGTGCAAGGAAACATAAGGACTTTTATGGAAATAAGAGAGCTTCTTCACCCACCTTATTTTTATTTATCCAGTTTCTTCTCTTTTATTTTATCTTTTACACTATTACTTATCGTTTTTTCTTCTTTCTGTTACCTTTGTTGTGCTTCATCAAAATTCGCTAAGACGCTCTGCTGCTTTTCCAGATGACATCTGCACTCCTTGCTCAGACTGGGTCATCTTAATTTCAAACCTAGCTTCCTTGAAACGAAACAAACCTGAGGGATTAGTTCTTTGGCTCCATATGAATAGGTTAACATGATTATTAATTTCATGCTGGCAAAAAATGATTCTCTTTGGCGGTCACCTGTGTCCTGCCTGGCATTGATCTGAGCAATGAGCAAATCTGGATTCTCCTCTGCCAGATTTACAAGGGTAGTGGGACTAAACTGGGCTTACAGAAAAAGCTTCTGAAACTGCAGCATGCTTAAAAACATGTTTCTCTTCATTTTTAGGTCTAAAAGTAATAATGCACTATCTGTGAAGAGACTTTGGCAATACCTCGTTAAACAAGAAATGGTCCAGGAAACCTTTATCAGAAACATATTTTCAAAGAAAAGGTGCTTGAATGAGGTATGTATTGTATGTTTTTATACAGAAATTTAATACCATTAACTTGGCTTTTCTTAGGCCAGCGTTCCTCAAATTTTTGAACTCACAGGGTCTCCCCCCCAACCCCCATCCAAGCTTGTTCTAGTTTCCAAGGCTCCACATTCCTCAAATACAAAGGTTGCATATGCTTAATGTGTAAGCAGTAAAGTTCACTGGCTGGAGAACAATATAATGAGAGTATTATTTGTTTGGTATTAATACATTTATTATAGTTTGTCCAATTTCCCTTTGTGAACTGAGAGTTAAGTCTTCACCATAGTATCTTAGGTATAGAACTCTTTCTGATGTACTTCTGAGAATGTACTTCAAAGAAATTTATTGCAGCATTCCATGATTTTGTTCCACTAAGTTAAATGTTGTGGCATATTCATAAAACTACTACGTAATTGTTAACCTTGCCTCATAGTTGCATGTTAGTCTCATCTTGTCTTTTGTCATGTGATTTACTGTATTCTTTTCTGGTGTAGTCAATAGAAGACCAAAACGAACATATCAAAAGTACTTCAGGGGAGGAGCCTGGAATCAATAAGGTATATGTGAAATAAAATAAATGGTGATATGGGAAAACTATAGCCTACATTCAAAATGTTTGTTTGTGTGTGTGTGTTTTAACTGTCTAACACATTATGTGGTTCATTGGTATTGATTGGGAAGATACAGAGTGGACTAATACCAGCAAACGTCTGGTCTCCTTTGTATGTGATTTCCCCCCCCAGAGTCAACTGTGTCAGGTCTTGCAGATTAATTTTATTTGTATTTGATAAACTATGCAGACTTTAATTGTAATTATGTTTAAAGGCTACAACCAGCAACCTATAAAACCTTCATAGATACTTCTATGTGTCAGACAAGTGCATAAGTAATGTGTATACTGGTATTTCTGTGCTTGGTAACAGAGGCCTAACATACAAAAACAGAAGATTTCACTCTATAACCTTCTGACTTGTAGAATTGTTCATGTGATTATTGCTGCTCTTGACAAATTTCACATTATTTGTGACTGGTTCTGAACTATTAAATGGTAGATACCGAGTCAGTTTTAAATATTTCATAGGTAGACATGGTTCATCTTTATGTGAAATTGCTTTTCTTTCTCTAGTTTTCTGGTTATGCACTAAATATAACAGTGATGGGACAATAAATGATTATAAAGTAGATAGGATGCAAAGTTGTTACACCTTTTAAAATGTGTTTTAATTTTTTATAGCAATTTACCTTTTTTTACTGGTCTACCTAGACCTAATTAAAAGTAACATGCTTTCAAGTAGCACAGAACTCTTCCTGATTAATATGTAGCTTTTATATTTCAGCATGAGCTAGAAAGATAGAAATCTTACTGATTAAAAAAGGGTATGTGTGTGACCCGCCTCTCTCTTTGTTTCCCTTTTATATACAGATAGAGACTGATATGGGATACCCTGGAAGTAAAGCTAGAATTATCCATAAAGAGTCTGACATTATCACTGCTTTTGCTGTCAACAAGGTATGCACACAAATGGGGTGCTTTAAAAAAATGAATATTTTGGAATGTTGTAGTTCAGGCTCACAAGAAGGAAGAGCTATTGTAATATTTAAAGAAAATAGTCAGACCTTGTAAAAGGTAAAGGTACCCCTGCCCGTACGGGCCAGTCTTGCCAGACTCTAGGGTTGTGCGCCCATCTCACTCAAGAGGCCGGGGGCCAGCGCTGTCCGGAGACACTTCCGGGTCACATGGCCAGTGTGACATTGCTGCTCTGGCGAGCCAGAGCCGCACATGGAAACGCCGTTTACCTTCCCGCCAGTAAGCGGTCCCTATTTATCTACTTGCACCCGGGGGTGCTTTCGAACTGCTAGGTTGGCAGGTGCTGGGACCGAACAACGGGAGCGCACCCCGCCGCGGGGATTCGAACCACCGACCTTTCGATCGGCAAGCCCTAGGCGCTGAGGCTTTTACCCACAGCGCCACCCGCGTCCAGTCAGACCTTAGCTAGAGGTAATAACACCATTTTTATTTCTCATACAGTCAATATTATGTTGTGTTCTGCATGCACAAAAGCCACAGTGATCTCTGTTGCGGTAATTCTGCTCTTCTAGAAACTTTGGTCTACTACCAACATAAATAGATGGTTGCAATGGAACTGAGTGGGTACAACATAAATGAAAAGTCATATATATGGGCAGCTTTTCATCCAGTTGAACCTTTGAAATCCAATAATACTGACTGAAAAACTGATAGCAAGTAGCTATTTCAATCATACCCTGATAATGGTTTTCCTGGGGCATCTGGCTGGTCAATTTTGGAAACAAGCTTGCTGAACCAGATAAATCTGACTGCAGCAAGGATATTATATTTTTAACCTTCTGCACTTTCCACCCAAAGAAGAGTAGCTGATTGGTGTGGTTGGGGACCCAAATGATATGAAGCTATGTGGAACTCTGCCAATGCGGATTCATTTAAACACCCTGTCACACTCATAACTTCACGCTTCCATGGGGCTTTTGTATTCAGTGGTGAACAGGCAATAGTAGAATTAAAGGTATTGTTAACCGGTGGTGTCCTGAGCTTATTATTTTCCCCTTACACTTGTATATTATAGGCCAACAGGAATTGTATTGCAATAGCTTCAAGTCATGATGTTCAAGAACTAGATGTTTCTGGAATTCTTGCTACACAGATCTACACTTGGGTTGATGATGATGTAGAAGTGGAAGCTAAAGGGTATATTTTTTCATTTGTTGGCTATATCTCCTAACATTGGCTTCTGTACATGAATTTATTTTTTTCTTAAAAATATAAAGCAGTATAGAAATGAAATGAATAATAATAATAATAATAATACTACATGATAATGATACACTGTTAATTTCTTAATCCAACTAGTTTTTTAAAAGTTATTAAAACATTTATCTAAGAGTGTTATGGGATCTCCTTCCTGATTTTCTTTATCTCTCCAACCTTGGGCTTTCCCCCTCTCTGTTTGCTGCAGTTCCCAGACCACCTTTTCCCCAGTGTTAGCACCGCCTTTCTGCTACCCTTATTTGCTGTGGTTTTACAGTCCACCTGTGTTGACAGAAGCAATCATTTTTCCCCCCTTGGCAGCTGTTGGCTTAGCTGTCCTGATGTCTCAAAAGACTGGCCTGCTTTGACCCAGACACTGAAGTGGTTATATGGTCACCTTAGTTCTGAATTCACAGAGCCAAGTATAAGTGAAATATACTTGGAGTCGAGTGTGGATTTCATGCTCTTTATTCAGCTCATAGTAGCAGTGAATGAAACTTTCCCCAAAACGTCTAGCTATATACACATTATTTACACAATGGGCCCTGTGTGATTGGCTAATTCCGGGCTGCTCCTGAAGGCCAATCAGGTCGCTGATTCACTTCTACCTGGAGCTGGATTGGGTGGCTCCTGCGGACCAATCAGACTGCTGCATTCTGGATCCTATTGTTCTAGGATTCAGCTCAGTACATAACAATAAGCAGGCATCTGGGTGGCATTATGTTAACAGGATGCTGGACCAGATGGACCATTGGCCAGACCCAGCAGACTGTCAGGGACCATGCTGAGGAGGGCTGCACTGAGGAGAAATGGTGGGAGCCACCCCCTCCCCTTGCTCCTGAATCTTTCCAGGAGTGGGAAGACAGTATAGATTTGGAACAGCGGTTTGCAGAGGAGCATAGTTCAGAAGGCAGAAGCTGGGAAATAATGAATGGGGAACAGCTAGCAGAAGAAGAAACCCTGGGAGAGAGAGGGTTGACAGATTCACAGTCACTGGGCAGCATTCCTCCACTACCCTCCCCAAGGTCACAAAGAGCTCAGAAAGTCTCAGAACAGAAAGCGCAGAGGGTACAAGCCCAGATTACAAGACATAGGAGTGATGTAGATTAATAGGGACAGAGGGGTGTGTGATCCTTACCATTTCTAGGAGATGTGTTCTTTGTTCTCTTGCTGTGATTATTAAATATACTAATTAGTAAGGCGTTCCTTTTGTTTGATCTTCTTATCTACTACCACGGGGGGGGGGGGAGCCGATTCCCCGAAGCCTGACACAGACCCTTCTTACCATTTTACGGTAGCCCAAATTAGAGATGTTGCATTATAATTTGTAGATGCAGATTGGCTGAACAACTGCCGTTTTTTGCAACATAAAATTCTCATTAAGAACATTTCTTTTATAGAGCTGATGATTTCTTGGTTATCCACGCTCGTGATGACTTGGGAAACATTCAGGGAACTACTCCTTATACTCACAGCAATCCTGGCACTCCAATCAACATGCCTTGGCTTGGTAGTACTCAGACTGGCAGAGGTGCTGCTGTGGTGAGTCACATGCAATAGAATAATCCTTGAATTACACACTATTACACACTTAATATTGAATATTTAAGTTTTATTAGGTATTATAAATCATATTCAGAATATATACATGTCTAATGCTATTAAAGATTAAAACATTAGTAATTACTTAAGAAACTCTCAGCACTTCTGTTACTGTGTTGAATCCAGACATTTAACATTTTTCTTCAGTGCAGAAAATCCAAATGCTGTTGGAAACAAAAGCAAAGTTTAGTAATAGTGCCTTGTCTAAGAACATGCTATATCAGTTAAGAAGTTGCTGGTTGAATTCTCAATCCCTAATTGTGGCATGGAAATTATAAAACTAATCTGTCCATATATGGTGGCTGAAAATGTGACACAAATTCATGAAGCATTTTGAACATTCCAAAAGGTACAATGCTAACACTAAGTTTCCTCAGCTTGCCTCTTTTGCCATCGGTTCCTTTCAAAGGGCAGAGATGGAGAAGCAAGGCAACGGCAGAGCCTGGTGCTGAGGCCCAGTATTCAGAAGTTTATTATGTTGTGCAAAGGATAAACGTCGAGAGAAATCCGAGTTCAGCCTAGGGTTTACTTCCTTGCCTTCCTTCCTTGGCCATTTATTTCTAATTTTACACATCATTGAGCTCTCCTTTTTTGCTGTTTGAGTTTCACTGATTTTTATGTCTGGCTCTTAATATGACCTTTGTACTTGGTAGAATTTACTAGCTGTGGATCTTCCCATCATGGTGTTACAATGATAGAAAAGTTGTGCCTTGTAAAACTCCCTTTTGTTACTACAGCCACTGTTATTCCCAGCTAGTTTTATTTACTGCCTAGCCCAGTTTCCTTTAAGCAGAATAATTCATTACAAAACAGTATTGATATAGTACCTTTTAGAGTTTTCAAAATGCTTTGCATGCATCATCTAATTGTAACCCTTACAACAACTTTTACAATAGGGGCAAGTATTTCTGTGCCCTTACTGTGGGGTGGGAGTGCTGAAACTCAGAGTCACTTAGAGCCCTCAGTTGTGCATTTTCTGTTTGCATTTTCTTCAGGATTCTTTCTCCATCTGTGTTTCACTTGGTCCAATGTAACTCAGTCCACTGTTGACTCCATCAACATCCCCTTGGATTCCCCAACCTCTTAGGACCTCTTCCTTAGCTTTGGTTACCTTTCCATGCTGTCTCTAAAGCGATTCTGAAGTTTTAGTTCTGGTCCAACTGTTCTGACACTTTCCTCAAGAGAGAACACTTCTGAAAACATCTCTCGACTTTTACTCCCCAACGTTTTAAATCCTCACCAGTTCTGAGTTCTCACATCAGCTCAGCTAGTAGGAATCTGAGGCTGTGCAAGCTGCTGCTATTACATTAGGAAAGCTCACTTGTTTTTGTATTTTAAATTTTTGTATTTGTATCGTTATTACAATCTTTAGTTGATGATTCTTTTAAAGAGACATGCATGAGCCATTATGTGTACATCGGCCCAGAAGACGTTGGACACTGGATATATTTTACAAATCTCATTCATGCCCTTTATTTCCCGATGGAGGAAAAATGGCAGGTTTATCTGCAGTTATGTGAGTTAAAATTGCCAAACACAAAGCAAAAAAGATAAAACTTGATACAATTAGCAGGGATTAGCTTCAGTTTATAAAATATTGGAACTAGTTACTTAAAACAACTGCTTGAAAGGGTTCTATATGTACCCTCAGTTTTTATTTTTGTATCCATGTTCGGTCATTCTTGCCTTTGCAAAAAGTAGAGAAAATAAAGCAAAAGTAAGATGGATTACACTAAGATCTCAAATAATCTCCAAGGCATGTGTAGCTGAGCCCAGTGATACTGTAGGAAGATAGTAATTGCTCAGACAGTAGCAAGGCTGTGATCCTATGCATTGTAATTACCATATATCTTCTTTTGCTGCAAGGTTGAATTCTCACTTCAAATTTATGGTTTTTATGTAACATCCAAAGGGAGAACTTGGGCAAATTGCCCATGCTATTGTATTGGCGCCACTTACACATCCACGTAGAAGGAATTTTGAGTACTCCCTTCAGCTGTTACACTAGGAAGACCAAAGCAAGTGTGCGGAATTCAGCAAAGCTGGATGTGCACGTGTTTTGTTTTACCTAATCTTTTACCTAGAAATGGGCACTGCTAGCTATGGAAGAATGCCTCGTTCAAATGACATTGGTGGATGAAACACTTTCCTTAACGTGCCTGCCTTTTTGATGTAATTTAAACTCTGTTTTTGCTCTAAATTTTTTCTCAAACTGTGGGCAAGGGACCACCCGTGGGCTTCATAGCCTTTTCGTGGGACTGACTCTGTTCCCAGTAGCTGCTCACATGCACCGTGAGTGCATAAGCACACAGAGAAGCAAGAGGGGGTTGGAGAGTGAGATGTACCATGCAAAGTTGGAAAGGGGCAAAAGTCAGACAGACACACACACACACAGAGAGAGAGAGAGAGAGAGAGAGAGAGAGAGAGGAGAGGAGGACAGAGTGCCCAGCCAAATATGAGAAAAGGAGGAGGAGGGAATGGATGAACTGAGGGAGAAGGAAACATTTGGGGCTTGCTGCTACTGCATCTTCTGGCCCTTCCAAATCCCACACCCACACTCCAGTTCTCCCATCCTCCCTGCTAATCACTTACCAAATCAGAATGCTTCTCCTCCCTCTTCTGAGGGGCAAAGAGCCAAAGTGGGTACTGATGGAAAATAAAGAGATAAAAGGTTAATATTAAAAAATAAACTTGGAGTAGAGAAGATGGGGATAAGAAATGGAGATAGAAGCATATGTAAAAGTAATGGGGGCAGGGGAGACAAATTAAGTGTGAAAGGAGAAGCTGCAGGAGTATTTAGGAGACTCCCTAAAAATTAGGCTTTATGAATGTGCCACATAGCTGTGTCAATACATTACTACCTGCTGTAATACATGCTCTTTAACCAAAGGCTACTTAGATACATAATTTTCCAGTCAATGCAAATAAGTCACAACTAAATTTTATGTGATTGATTAAATGCAAAACATAATGTTCTTCATTCCTAGTTAACTTCTGTAAAAGTTTGTTTGCCTCTCTCTTACATGCTTCTGCTTCTACCTCTGTCTTACTTACCTTACAATATACAGGAATATTCCAATAATTTTAATGGAATCAGAAAGGAATTGGCAAGGAAAGAGGTAAGAATGCAGCCTAGAGTGTCTCTGTTGGGACCCTTAGTCCTGTGGAACAAAAGCTCCCACACTCAGGGGTTATGTTCTGTTGATATCAGTGTGCACTAATGCTGAGGGAATTATGTAGCTTTCATTGACTTCCATCCATATTTCAGCCCCAAATTCATGAAGGTAAACAAACTTGGTAGCGTCTGCATTTTACATCACTAATTACTTTTAAAGGCTTCTGATCAATTTTGCAGCTTACCTATTTATTTTTGCACATCTAACAGATGATCAAGAAGGCTATCAATAATGTTCGAAGAATGGCTTCCCACCCAACACTACCTTACTGTAAGTTTAATATTTCTAGGCCATTTTGATGTTTGCAATAGTCCCAATTTATTATGCAGAGTATGGAAAAAATGTTTGAAAATATCCAGGAAGGAAAAGTGCCCCTTGTTTAAAAAGATGGAGAAAAAAACCAGCTATAATTCTTAATTCAGATCAAATCTATTTTTGTCCATTTTAACTATACCTTAGTTTTAAAGAAGTGTTGAAGTTTTATGGATTATTTTTTATTCCAGATTTGACAGGTGCTCAGGATGGCAGTGTGAGAATGTTTGAGTGGGGCCATTCTCAGCAAATTACATGTTTCCGGTCTGGTGGCAACTCCAGGATTACACGGATGAGATTCAATTATCAAGGCAATAAGGTAGCGTCCCTTTTGCATCTCATAGAGATTTTTTTTTTTAAGTGTTTCTATGAAACGCTCTGATTGCTCCTTCCAGTAGTTTAGAATACAATAAGTTTAAATCAGTAGTTCCCAACCTTTTTTGGGCCATGCCCCACCTAATAATCTGTAAAATCCTGACACACACACACACCCCCGTGACATATAATTCTTATTATTCAAAAAGTGAACTCCTATGCACGCGGAGGAAGCCTAAAAGGCCATTCACTGTTAATAACTCATTCTCGAATTGCTCCCCTTAAAAATCAAATGCCCCCCCCTAGGGGGGGTGCCCCACATTGGGAACCACGGGTTTAAACGTTTAGGATACAATAACTTTAAATGTCTGGGCAATATATAAACACACAAACACAAACAATATATGTTGGAACTGCATATATATTCATATTCTTAATGTTGTTGTTTTTCCCCAGTTTGGGATCGTTGATGGTGATGGGTTTATAAGTCTGTATCAAACAAACTGGAAAACGTCTCTACTTAATGGAAGCACACCCAAACCATATTTGGTGAGCCTAAAAAGTCCCCCCCCCCAACTTGCTTTTGTTTGATAGTGCCATGACATTGAAAAGCTGTATTTTAATTGTTGTAAGACATTAGACATCTATTGTTAAATATACTTGGTTGAAAAATTGCAGGTTTTGTGCTCGTTCTTCTTCTCTAACAAAAACCTACAAGCCAAGTGGCAAACCACTTCTGAAACGGGGACTTTCTAAAAGTATGTTATGATATGGTTTTAGGGACCTTCTGTTCAATGAAAAGAAGTAAAAGCAAAACGAAACAAAAAACACCTTACCAGCTTTGGCTGGTATGATAAATGTGACCATTCCTGGACTGGGAGAGCTTGACCGCAATAGTTGTGGCATTGGGACTTCAAGATGGGATTAATGCAATGCACTGTGAATGTTACGGTTCCCTTGCAGTTGACCCAGAAACTGCAGTTAGGGCAGAAGACTACATGCTACATGGTTGCTGACAGATGCGAGATCTTATCAGCATTTAACACTCCTGCCATACTGGCTGAGGATTTGTTACTGGGCCAAATTCAAGTTGTTACTATGACTATGGAAAGCCCTTAGACAATCTCATACATGTTACTGTTTATAAGACCAAATTATATATTAATTTTATTTCCAACCTTTACTTACTAATGCCTGTTACAATTTCCAGACATGGCAGTGCCATAACAAAACAGCCAGTGACTTCGTTTTCATCAGCTCTTCATCTTTGATAGCCACAGCTGGGCAGTCCACTGACAACAGGTACTGAAACTTCTTCCAAGATCACAGTGGTAAACTGAGTGCAAATGAAGAAAGTACTTTTTATGTTGGGTTGTGCCAGTGGCAGCTTGCAGTAGGGGAAAGTGCTTCCGCTCGCACAAGGTGGGACACCTGAATTTCACCAGTTCCACTAACCCTCTGCAGTCCTCGACCCCATATTTCACACTACTTAGGAGGGCCCTCCAGTCCTTGAAACCAGCTTATCGGAGTGCACAGGAAACTATAGTAGGTAGGAGAGAATTGGCAAAAATGAATTATCCTGCCTTGCACAAATGATTTCTACAAGCATAAAACCACCAAACGCAGCAGACCCATAACAATTAATGCATCAAAATGAATTTCAGTGGGTCTACTCGGAGTAGAACTTAATTATTATTGCAGCAGTGTCATTCTCTCAGAGGCAATTTGTCAGGGGCTGCAGATAGGCAGTCCATTTTATCCAATGCAGGAAGCGTTATTCTGATATAGTGAAGTAGACACACTGTATACACACAAACACTATTTGATGTGTATAAAAGGGAGGGCACCAGCAAGTGCAATTCAGAAAAGTTTATTTGATTATTTTTCATCTTTCTCTTTTTTAGAAATATTTGTCTGTGGGATACTCTGGTTGCACATTCTAGTAGCTTAGTGCATGGTAAGTTTAATGCATATATACAAACAAACTACAGATTTATATGTGGGTAGATAATTGTTATGTTTCCCATAAAGTTTGCTACATTCTTTATCAAGCTTCTGCAAAACGAATACTGTGGTCTAGATTTACATTCTTGTTCCTTGTTTAGTCTTATCCTCACAAATCACTATTCATTTTACATGCAATCAACTGACCAACAGATTATTGGAACTTGTGCTAGAGCTTATTGAACATCTTGTTGAATACGTGCATTATTAATAGAGGGCAAATTTCTTGATTTAAGTGGTTCCTCGTAGTCATTTGCTTAGGGAGGGGAACTCTCTGCATCCTATGAACCATGTGCATGAGAGCCAACAGGAGAATCAGTAATATTTTAGTTTCTTTGGACTTGAGTTAAGCACTATAAAACCTAGGTTTCATATTGCAGTTCATGTGTGCTAGTATTGTTACACAAAGCTTTATACAAGACTGCAAATAAAATACTAATTTAATTTTATTGATTTGGATTTTAGCCTTTACTTGTCATGATACTGGAGCAACTGTCTTAGCATATGCCCCCAAACACCAGCTATTAATATCAGGTGGCAGAAAAGGCTATACCTGTTTAATAGATCTTCGGCAAAAGCAACAACGACAATTTTTCCAGAGTCATGATTCTCCAATTAAAGCAATTGCTGTGGATCCTACAGAAGAATATTTTGTCACAGGATCTGCTGAAGGAAACATAAAGGTAACTGTCAGGGAACTGCCATCAGTACTGGAGGGGGAGAGCGAAAGCCAGAGGGATACCAGACAGCATCCAGGGATCGGGAGGAGCAGCCCATCTTCTGGGGAAGAGAATCAGCATAGCACCAGTGGAGAAGGGGGGCAGCTGGGGGAAGTGGTGAGGCGGTCTCATGACTCCTTGCCTGGGACCAGCGGGGAGAGTAGGGGTCCTCCGTTGCCCACGCCCTCCCTGCGCAGAAGGCTTCCGCGCAGAAAGGGTAGGCGGAGACTAGGCGTCAAAGAACTTCTTTGCTGGAAGAAGTTTAAGAAACACCCACTCACGGATTCTGCCAACGATTGAGTCAGCCACGGGTGAGTGGCTGTCCGGACAGAAAAGGTTCACTTTGACAACCCAGCCAGGTGTTTGCACCCAGCCGGGGAGATAGGCACCTGCTTACGCACGAGCAACCCCTAGAACCATTACAGTAACACATTGTAAAATTCCATTTTGTTAGACTTTGATAAATATAAATTTATTACACATTCATTAGAGCACTGCATAAGAATTATATTGAGTAGGCCTATCATGTTTTGTTCTCCTCTGCTTTTTCCCTAGACCTAAGACTATTTAGTATTGCCTTAACTATAAATTCGTTTTTATTTAAAATATTTATACCCTGCCTTTCTTTATAGAAGTTGAAGTAGGGTTGCAGTACAAACCATAAAATAAAATAATATATATTTAAAAAACACAATAACCAAAGTATTGATGAAGTAATTTTAGTACGAGATAATGGATTAAGCAAACAGTATTGTCCTTGTAATAGCAAAAACAAACCCACATATTGAAATATTTTTCTTTGTGTTTTTAGGTATGGAGTCTATCTAACTTTGGTCTTCTTCACACTTTCATCAATGAACATTCTCGACAGTCTATTTTCAGAAATCTTGGGACAGGTGTCATGCAGATTGAGACAGGACCAGCAAATCACATATTCTCATGTGGAGCTGATGGGACAGTAAAGATGAGAATCTTGCCAGATCGATTTAGCTCACTCAGTGAAGTATTGAAAAGTGATGTGAAATTCATGCTCTAGTATGGTGTTAATACTGAAATATATTTTATAAGTGGGTAACAATTGTATGTAAAGTATGTTGATGATTGTACAGATAACACCACAATAACATTTTTCGATGTTTATATTTATTTCTTGGCGCTTCAGTCCTCGATGCACTGATGCCTTAAAGATTTAATAAGTTCCTTCTGGTTTTGCCTAAACCATATGCGATCATTCAGTAAATGTTTAAAATATGTATGTTGCTGAAGTTTTTTATGTATGTTGCTGTGTTTTTAATTTGTAGGTGAACGTGGTCTTTTTTCATTTATTCTTCTCTAAAGACCCATACCATAAGGAAGCCTTATGATGTTAGCCTGATAAATACAACTATCTGTTGCCAAATTCCTCCTCCTAGCTAGCTATGAGTATGGGTTGTAGTTGTCTAAAATAAGCACCTCTTGAGAGTTGAGCCACCGCTGCTACCTAATCCCTGGAATCCAAGTTGATCATTGTTGCAATTTGAACTCTGTATGCAGAGCTAAGAATTGAAGGATAGACTTTGTGTCGGAACTTTCCATGCTTGAACGGCTGCTATCAGGATGGCAGTCTTTTCCTTAAACCAAGAGACATACAGAATATATATTTTTATCTAAGCCCTGTTTAAAAATATGCAAATATTATGTGATTATTCTCTCTCATAAAACTGTTTAAGAATTATATTTAAAGAAAACAATACATGAACCTTTAGTGTTGATGAAATGAACCATAGGAATGTGCTGCATAGGATACTGAATGCGAATTGTTCTTTTGTAAAACGCTGAGTGTTTCAGGAAATAGACAAATAATGCTATTTACTCCTTCTGGTGAATTTGTTTTCATTTAGCCCAAAGATGCTGTTTTCTCCCCAGCACTTAGATCATAGTGTTTACCTTGTAACTGCCTTTCTGAAGCAAATTTAGAAAATACTGCAAAAGAAAATGACTAATCTGGGGTATGAAATATACTATAGATTTATAATGGGGGAAATCAAAGTATATTGAAATAAGATTTTCACGTTTCTTTTGCCAAAATGTAAAAAGTGTATACACTAACTGTTTTGACCAAAATATAGAAATGCACAAAGCCTTCAACGTTTTCTATGTGCTAAAACAACTATTCTGGGTTATTTCATTTTAGAAGTGTAGAAAAGTATGTAAACTAGATAAGAGACTGGTTACTCAAATGCAAATAATATACTTTTTGCTATAATATTGGGGGTGGGAACAGTGTCAATACAATGCTAATTGTAAAAAAAAAAATGTCTGGGAATGGATGCTGTAAATAAAACAAAAATGAAGGGCTTGTATAATGAATTTTGTAATATTCTCAGGACACATACTTTAACATTTTAATTTTAATATTTTGTAACATTTTATATGATTTTAAATGTAATTTTTTGCAGATTTCTGTGCAAGGAGCAAAGGGGTGGTTTCTAAGCACTTAGCCTGCATTTAAATTTGTGCAATAACATATATGCTACTATTGTAGAGAAGAAATGCACAGTGGGCATTTCAAAGAACTAGCACAGTTGTTTGATACATTGAATTTTAATCATTTTTCCTCTGAAATTCCCGTGAATCAATTGATGTTTTAAGACACAATGATCAGGCCATGGGGTGACTTGGTGACAATAGCTCTATCATGTGCCATGAAGCAGTCACATGACTGGAAGGCATGCCTTTTAATACCCTACTTATGAAGGAAGTAGCACCAGCAAATAAGTGCTTGGAGTGGCCTGTAGAGTGGCCTATGTCCCTTATGGGGCTTCTATAAAGTCATCAACAAGGATGATACATGCTAGGGTTATGGAAAGTTATGCTTATGCTGGACAGAAAGCCTGCACAACTATTTTGGAGCAGATCATGAGTTTGAGTGCTGTGACGGTTATATTTCATGTATGTATTAAAGCATTTCCTCTTTAAACACTGTCGCCCTTCACATTTTAATTCAAAAGACAAAGTTGGGGAAATGATTTCAACGTTAAAGAGACAAACCCTAATTTTCCAGTTTCTGAGTTTTATATTTGAATCACAAAGGCAGCCAAGCATACTGAAAATTTACAGTTCAGGGTACCAGCAGTTAAGACTTTTTAAAAATAAATAAATAAATTTAAGATGGAAATTTATATTTTGAGAAGTACTATTATTTTTCAGTAAAACTTTTGACAAGTTGCACTTTAAGTATGCCAATATTCCAATATTGTATACAGTTCTGCACTTCTACAAGGAAACTGGGTGAATGAGTGTGTTTGTGAAGAATACTCTTCAGCTAATAACTCAAATTTTGTAATATTGTCATGTATTTAGTACCCACCCATAATGCCTAAATAAAAAGTCGTGTAGAGAATCATTGTTCCAAAATGCCATAGTTGCTATGAACTTTTTATGAAGACTCTTTCCTTAGCGTGAAGGTTATTTTAAGGATATTAATGTTATGTCTGTCCTCTCAATTTAATATATTCCCTCCTACCTATCTTTTTTGTGCTCCTAGTGAAGAGGTTGAAACATGCAACTTCCAAGTTTGAAACTAACTGCTGTTCCCTCTTACATCTGAACTCAAGGAATTGTGGTTTGTTTCAAATGCCCAGGATATTAAACCGTAGTTTAAACAAACCATAAAAAAAAAATTGGGTGTAACAGTTTGTTTAAGCTGGATCATTCTACTCATCTTTTGGTATACTTAGTTCAGTGCTCAATCTGGCTCATTCACAAACGGGAAACCATGGTATGATGTTGAAGATTGGTAAGGTATGCACTTTTTCCCACCCTTCTAATCAATTTGTTGCTGAAATATAGATTTCATACATGATCATGAATTTGTACCAAGAGTGGTTAACACATCAGACTGAAAGCAGAGGAAGGAATTCAGTGTCACCCTCTTCTGATGCAAAACTTGTCAGTGCAAACATTTCAGCTTGCTAGACACCACGATCCACATGCTGCTATGGGGTTCTCCTGACCCCTGCAGGCCACTTTGGGGGATGACATGGGGACACAGGTGGTGCTGTGGGTTGAACCACAGAGCCTAGGGCTTGCTGATGAGAAGGTCGGCGGTTCGAATCCCCATGACGGGGTGAGCTCCCATTGCTCGGTCCCAGCTCCTGCCAACCTAGCAGTTCAAAAGCACGTCAAAGTGCAAGTAGATAAATAGGTACTGCTCCAGCGGGAAGGTAAACGGCGTTTCTGTGCGCTGCTCTGGTTCGCCAGAAGCGACCTAGACATGCTGGCCACATGACCCAGAAGCTGTCTGTGGACAAACGCCGGTTCCCTCAGCCTATAGAGAGAGATGAGTGTGCAACCCCAGAGTCGTCTGCAACTGGACCTAACGGTCAGGGGTCCCTTTACCTTTACTTACCGGTATATAGAGTATTTATTAAAACATTTTATGCCACTGTTTGGCTGTAACAAGGCACTTTACAAGAAAAGGAAGAACAAAAATCGATGAACTGGCACAGTAACAGAAAACATTAAATACCAATACAAAGTTAAAACCTCCAGTGTCAAGTTAAAATTCATTAAAAGCCATGCTGCCTTAAAATACGTATGCTATGTGTATGAGTGCTCGCTGGAAGGACAGATCGTGAAGCTGAGGCTCCAATACTTTGGCCACCTCATGAGAAGAGAAGACTCCCTGGAAAAGACCCTAATGTTGGGAAAGATAGAGGGCACAAGGAGAAGGGGACGACAGAGGACGAGATGGTTGGACAGTGTTCTCAAAGCTACCAGCATGAGTCTGACCAAACTGCGGGAGGCAGTGGAAGACAGGAGTGCCTGGCGTGCTCTGGTCCATGGGGTCATGAAGAGTCGGACACAACTAAACAGCAACGTGTATGATGTAAACCAGGTTTTTCGTCACACGTGTAAAGGCACTTCCTGTGTACGTGTGTTCATTCCTCTCAATGCAATGTCGATTAGCAGAATTCTTGGGCAAAATCTCCTGTATGGATGGTACTACAAAATACTATGAAGTACAGAAGATTCTTTGTTTACTTCATTTTCCATTCTTCTGTGCGCTGTCCCATCTGGCACCTGCAGGCCAGAAGATTGGATCTTGCTTCTGTTTGGGAGGAACAGAACTTTCATTTAGCAAGGTGGAACCCACAAACTGTGCAGAAAGCCTAAAGTGTTTGGCTGTTTCCCAACATAACCATTTAATAAGAGGGTGTATGATGATTAACGTTAAAGAAATTTCTTCCTTACATGAGCATAATTGCTAAGTTCTTGTTCACAGCTTAGATTTTCAAGATGTTGAAAAGACAAGAGTGATGGGAGTGAGGAATCTTTACATCTGTAACCTGTGCTTCCCTGGGCACCTTCTTAGTGCATCTTCTCTAGGCACCAAGGAGTGTTTAGAGGTAACTAGACTCTTTCTTGGTGCTGTTTCAAGAGGTGCTTGCTGGTGGCTTCTTCAGCTACTGTCATTAAGAATGCTATCATGCATATTCTAGAAAAAGAGGAGTCAGAACTCGCCATGAACACCTCCCCTATTTTCTTATGACCAAGGCGTCCACCTGAGAGGTGTCAGAACTAGGTTACAGTGAGTTCTGGCTGAACAAAAGCCCTGCTCTGTATGGAGCAAGCTGTATGGAGCCTGTAAAGGTAAAGGGACACCCGACCATTAGGTCCAGTTGTGGCCGACTCTGGGGTTGCGGCGCTCATCTCGCTTTATTGGCCAAGGGAGCCGGCGTACAGCTTCCGGGTCATGTGGCCAGCATGACTAAGCCGCTTCTGGCAAACCAGAGCAACGCACAGAAATGCCGTTTACCTTCCTGCCGGAGCGGTATCAATTTATCTACTTGCACTTTGATGTGCTTTCGAACTGCTAGGTTGGCAGGAGCAGGGACCGAGCAACGGGAGCTCACCCTGTTGCGGGGATTCGAACCACCGACCTTCTGATCGGCAAGTCCTAGGCTCTGTAGTTTAATCCACAGTGCCACCCGCGTCCCATGGAGCCTGTAGGTTTCAGCTAAAATTCTCCCCATCCCTGAGCATTGGAAATTGGCCCACACCTAGCTGAGGCTGATGGGAAGTTGGGAATCTAGCAATATCGAATGTGAAACATCAAGGCTTGGATCCAGAGAAGGGGCCTGCCTGTGTATGAGACAGCATCATGCAACAGGAGTATTGCTTGCTGTTTTGCTGTGTCTGTGCAGTGCAAGGGGCTTTGCAATCCCCATGTTTAGCAGAGCTGCTTTCTGCAGGGATTGGCTGTGCAGTCAAATTTCCCATGGGAAACTCAGTCACGCAGCTGATGAGTGGTGACTTCAACCCTGCTTTCCACAGGGTTCTGCTGCACAAACTTTCCATAAGGAACTTGGTTCTGCAGCTGATCTTGCCCAGTCTCTGCCTGCCCCACACTTAACATACATATGACATCTGGTGTGGGTCACAGGATTTAAGGGAAATGGTTCTGCAGGCCAAATTGGAACCTATGCTGGTTCCCCACTCTGATGAAGCAGTTGGCACTGACCAAGACAAGTTGTGTTTTTAAGCTGAACATCAGCTTTTGACTTAGGTGTTACTTGCAGCAGTTACTTAGCCCTGTTCTATATGTGGATGGTACTGAACCCTTTAGATTTGATCCCTGATGGGGAAAAAACCCATTACTTTCAAGTGATTGTATTGCTTGCTTGAACAAAACCATCATTTCAGTTTCTAATTTAGAAACTACTGAATTACTATCCCCCCCCAATCACATGAAAGTATGAACTTCCAAAAATTGTTCATGTGGAAGGCTTGCACTGAAGGTGGACTGTTAGTTATTGGGTTTTCTTACGAAGGGAAAGGGGCCCAGCAGTGGTGTATTATTCTTTCTTTTCTCTCTCCCTCCCATTGAAAACCTTTTGCCATTTTCTCAATGGCAATACTGCTTTGAAATGTTGCACAATTTGCTGCACCAGACACCACTTCTTGCCTTCATGCCTTCCAGGAAGGGCAGGGGAAAGAAGATTGTTGAGGTTTTTTGAGCTTCTGAAGATATTACACAAGATCTTGCAGTATTTTTTTTTTTATGTCTCACATAATGTCAGAGTTAATCTGCAGAAAGCTCAGTGTATTATGCTACTTTAAAAAAAAGGTAGAAAATTTTACTTTAGAATTTCTCAAGTCAGCTACCTTAGCACTGGTTGAAAATAATATACAAATCTAATGATCCGGAGATCACTGTTAGGATACAGTGTGTTTGTGCAATGCAACCAATCATTTTACTCATTGATTTGCTGTCCCTAGGCAGATTGGCAGTTTATAAAAAGCAGCTGCCTTGAAATGTATCATTAAAGAAAATTAAGTCAGTTGTAATTCATGAATACCAAGTTACGCTTTCAATCTCTCAAAGCTTTTCAAGCAACTGTTGGACAGACATTTTAGGATCTCAACAAGGCATGCAAAGAAAGAAGCATCTGAAACAACCACCTTGTCTGCCCACCAGTTAAATATGTCTAATCAGATATGCTACCTGTGCTAAAAACACTGGGCATCTGTTTTCTGTGGTGTTAAATGTGGTCATCTGGATCCAGCCCAGCTGTGCAATATTTCTACTTTGAGTTGCACTCTGATAGCTTTACTTGATAAGCCATCTCCTTCCATTATAAGGAATAACTTAGGAACTGTAAGATTAAATTTTAAAATAAAAGTAATTATGCTGGGTGATTGTTTAGGCTTAAACAATTCTTTTAAAAGGCTTCATCAGGCGAGTGAACAGTTGCTCTAGCTTAATAGCATATTTATGCATAGCAATGTCTTAAAGCGTGTTAGTGCAAAAGAGTGTGCAATACAATCAGTTTGTATTGTCTTGAGAATCAGGGAAGCAAAACATCTGGGGTTGCCAATTTTCAAGACATACAAAGTGGCCTGAGAGACCCTCCACTGCTGCCAAGTCAGAGCCTAAACCAAACCTCAAATCCAGGACATTTGCTTTAAAAATGTTAAATTCTCCCCAGTTGGGCCTGTAGGATCCCCCATAGAGACATGCCCAGCATTTCCCTCGTCCCCGCTCCTGCTGGGCTATGTGGAGTCTGGCTCTCTGGACCCCGCCAGGACCCAGGCAGCCCTCGTGCCCCAGGAGGGCGGCTTCCTCGGCATCTCAGAGGAAAGGCAGTCCAAGCTGTAAGGTGAAGTTCACGACAGCATGCACTGCTCACTGAAAAGCTGTTTCTCAGAAAGTTGCCTTACCATGAGTGCTGTATACCAGACCATGCTGCAGCGGAGCCAATGGGCTTCCTTGAGCCCCAAAGAAAGAGACACACTCATTGGGGAAATGGCGAGGTTCGTTCCATGGTGGAGCTCTGCCCATTGGTAGAGAGTGAGGGCAAACTCCGTGTTCAGGTTCTGTGGTTCATGGTGTCAGTATAAAAGCTGTCCTGCCCCTGCTCTCCCTCCAGGCCTTCAGATATTATGTCATCTCAATGGAAAAGAAGAGAAGGCTAGCAATTATAACCGTTTTAGGGACTTTCTTCTATACCCTGAACATATCCTTGGAAATAGACATTGCCTTCATGTTTTCCTGGGGTTTTTAGTTCTGGCTGGCAGGAGGTCTGCAGAGCCTACAGGGAAAGAAAGAGCCACATGGGATATGTTTATTTTCTGAACCTCGAAACAGGACTCAGACAGTTACAGAGAGACCTTTCCTAAGAAGCCTTACTTAGGGACTAATATTACTCTGGAAGCAACATCTATATGCAGAAGCGTTTTACCTTTTTTGTCCAGAGGGGAAGGCGGAGGGGGAGTTTGTGGGTGAGGAGCAGGTCTCAGGGAGAGGCAAAATCTTATTTCTCCTTCCCAACCAGGAAAAGACTTTTCTCAGCCTTGAAAGCCTAGAAAAGAAAGAGAAAAATGTGAGAAATGGGGCCCACAGTTAGTACTCTCCTGATCTATATCTCTAAACTGATTTTGGCATTCATGCCTCAAAGCTCAAGAGGAATTCTCTATCATCATAGAATGCAGATGCTGAGGGAAATCCTACTTACGTGTCTTGTCTTCTTCCTATAACAAACATGAAATGATCCAACCATAGGAGCTCACCGGGCCTTTTAACACTCTGGAGACCAGTGAGCCAGCAGAGGGAGGTGTCACAATGGCTTCTGTAAATCTGTTCCTGGAAAAAAGGGACACTTGGCGGGTCTGCTGAAGTGTCCAGATGGGAGACCACCAGGGTCTATGTAAATAAATACATATATATGTACTATGTAAATAAATACATATATAGAAGGAAAGGAAAAGCTATTAACCCCCTCCCCTCCAAACCACTAGTTTCCTTCACAATGGGAATCACTCTTTGATGCAAGTTAAATGGCATATTTGGGCCTTGAGCTCTTTCAGTATAGAGATGGGATGGAGAACCTGTGGCCATCTAGATCTTGTTGGACTCGCTTCAGATCCCCCTAGCATAACCAACAGCCAGGAATCTTAGCAATAATAATAATAATAATAATAATAATAATAATAATAATAATAATAATATATTAATTACTTATACCCTGCCCATCTGGCCAGGCCTCCCCAGCCACTCTTGGAAGCTTCCAATAGGATATTAAAAACACAATAAAACATCAAACATTATAAACTTCCCTAAACAGGGCTGCCTTCTAAAAATCAGATAGTTGTTTATTTCCTTGACATCTGGTGGGAGAGTGTTCCACAGGGCGGGCACTACTACTGAGAAGGCCCTCTGCCTGGTGCCCTGTAACCTTAGTTTTTGCAATGAAGGAACTGCCAGAAGGCCCTCGGAGCTGGACCTCAGTGTCTGGGCTGAACGATGGGGGTAAAGATGCTCCTTCAGGTATACTGGGCTGATGTTGTAATCCAACATCTGAATGGCCACAGGTTCTCCACCCTGACCTACAGAGGTGTCTATGCCCAGCATGTGGATGTTGGGGCCAGGGATCCTTTGTACTCACTGTCCTCCTTCAAGTGACTAATGTATCCAAGTGCTATGGTCCATCTTCAATTTTTTTATTTTAAACACTATGAGAGCAGAGTGGAGCAAGCACAAAGTTAGTTTCTCAGGTGAGGGGGAGGAGGAAAATAAGTATCTTTCTCCAAACAGGTCCTATGACCAATGTTTAATACTTTACTTGAGCTTTGATTGTGCCACATATATAAAACATTTGGATTTTAATGTCAGCCAGGAAGACTGCTTCTGCTTCAGACTTAGGAACTCTAGGACTGCCAGAAGCTTTTCACCTGAAGCAGACTAATATGCTTTTAATTACTGTGTACTAGTAGGAAGTTTGTGAGATAAGTGCTGCAACGTTGCAAAATTAGAAAGCAAGACAAACAAGAGACCTGACACCTGTGACAGCAATTTAAAACTGCATTTTTCAGACAGAAGATGAGTCGTCTCTTTTTTCTCTCAGGATTAGGTAGGTCTTTTTAGGCTTTCCTAAATAGGTGAAGACTGTGGATCTAAAGGGAGGGTTTTAAATTGGAATTGCAGCTGATTAATAAGGGAATCTGTAGTTGCAAGAAAAGGGGAGCCAGGGCATTAAGCTCCTAAAAGCCAGAAATTTCAATGTTTCCGTTTACTATGAAAAATAGCATTTAAACTTAATTTACAACCTCTTACTTTCTGCCTTTTACAGTTCTCTCCTTGTTTTTAAACTTCTGTATAGTATTTTGGATGTTTTAGTAGAAAAAGTGTGTGGTTTATTTAAAGAGCTAAAACCCAGAATTTTACTCATAGATATTGTTTTCCTAGGACTTCTAAAAGTTTGTATTTGTGCTCAGCCTCATTACAGTCTGAAGTGGTATATTGAAGACAAGATGACCTTTAGGGTCACTTCCAATACTAGTTCCAAGATTGTTTGTTGCTTTCCCCCCTTAACAGACGGGGAACTGAAGCTACAATAATGGCAAATTATCTGGAACCATATAATACAGCAGGTCTAGGTTTAGCCTACTTCCCACATTGCTACATAAATGCTAAAGAGATACCAACAACTTTTTGTTGTTGTTTCAAGCTCTTTCAAGACTCCTTTCATGACAAAGCAAACCCAAAGCCCACTACCTCTTTATAAATATTGTGCACTTCCAAATATTACTTCCAATACATCACCAAACTGTAGGATGAATGGTGACAGGGATTCTTATGGGCTGCTTTATTCTGGAATGAAGTTATTCAGGAAATATGGAAGATTGTTAAAACACATATTCAAACTTATCCCCATTTATTGCTACTAAATATGAGGGTATACACCATGAATACATTTTGCCAAAAGGAACTTTTGACATGGGTGCTGTCAGGATCCCTATAGCAAAATAGTGGAAATTGTTTTGTTTTTTTAAATATGGACTATATCCTTATGTCATAAAAAAAATCTATTGGAATTTAGTTATTGAAGAAAAATAGCACATACCTGTAAATCTGAAGCTAAACTGTATCTCTCACCACACTATCTACAGAAATATGGTTGTGATTTTAAATTGGGTGTCATTATTTAATATGTTTAGGTTTTGTATGCCTAGCTGGATATATTGTTGATTTTTTGTGTTGTGTGTGTGTATTGGGGGTATGTATTATGCATACACAAGTGGGAACTGAAGCAAAATGTTGTAGCATATTCCAGACCCCATAAGAGGCAGTCTGGTACACCTTTTTGAACCTTGAGAACTTTAGTTTACATCTCAGAGCTATGATTCCCAGCATTCTTAAACTACAGCTCCCAATAATATTTTTGGGGGGGGGAGTCGTGCACTTTAAATAGATGGCATGTACACATTGAGATAGGGACGTGGGTGGCGCTGTGGGTTAAACCACTGAGCCTAGGACTTGCCAATCAGAAGATCAGCGGTTTGAATCCCCATGACGGGGTGAGCTCCCTTTGCTCAGTCCCTGCTCCTGCCAACCTAGCAGTTCAAAAGCATGTCAAAGTGCAAGTAGATAAATAGGTACCACTCCGGCAAGAAGGTAAACGGCGTTTCCGTGCGCTGCTCTGGTTTGCCAGAAGCGGCTTAGTCATGCTGGCCACATGACCTGGAAGCTGTACGCCGGCTCCCTCGGCGAATAAAGCGAGATGAGCGCTGCAACCCCAGAGTCGGCCACGACTAGACCTAATGGTCAGGGGTCCCTTTACTTACACATTGAGATACCCTTCAGTAATGTATAGTAAAATCTTGATTTCACCACCTCAAGAGTCGGTCAGCCATGATGTGCCCACTGAGCACGCAATGGGGCTATTGGGGGCTATTTCTCCCTAACACCCTGCCCCCAGGTTTAGTATCCATAAACCCAAGCGCACTGTCCCCTAATGGTTGGTAGCAAAGAATACATACATACATACATACATACATATATATATATATATATAATATTATATATTATATATGTATTTGCACGTGCGCACACAAAATGGGGTAGTGGGGGCCTTGCAAAACGAGGCCAGATGACCTAGCAACATTGGTCGTTGCTGGGGGGAGCCGCTTACCCCCCTCCAAAAAATCAAGTAAATAAATAAAAATACTTAACTAAAAGTAGACATTGTAGAAAGATTTTGACAGATTTTCCTGAGCACTTGGGGTCAAAAGAAAGCGATTTAAACTGCCATCTGCCATGGATGCTTTAGCGGAGATTCCTGCATGGCAGGGGGTTGGACTAGATGACCCTCGGGTCCCTTCCAACTCTACAAACAGTTGAGACATTTCGTTCCGGATCTGATAGACAGAGGATGATGACAGGCGGGCGTCCTGTACCGGTTGAAGCAACAGGAGTGCTGAAGCACCCAAAGGCGGGGCACTTCAGAAAGGAGAGACACGTGTTTCGCATTCCTGTTTCTTTACAAAGGGTTAAACCATGGAGAGAGAGAGAGAGAGAGAGAGAGAGAGAGAGAGACCACGGCTCTCTTGCGCCTGAGACACTCGGCCAACGAAACTCCCCCTCTCCCGCTGGCGAGCAGCGGCCAACGCCCTGCGGCCACTGAGGGCGAAACCTCACGCGGCGCACCTTTCAAACCTCCGGTGAGACCCCCGCCCCCCAGCCCTCTCCTCCGCTCTGCGATTGGCCCGAAGTCTCAAGCCCCGCCTCTCCTTGTACCCCTGTGGGCCAAACCTCTTTCTTCGCCCGTCTGTCACTCCGAGCCGCGCTGTCTCGCGCGCCCCGGGGAATTGGGAGAGTTGTGAGGAGTCGTCAAGGTGCTGCTGCCGCCGCCGCCGTTGGGTTTCCCCTCCCCCTCCCAACGGTTT